AAGATCATTTAAGACGTATGAACGGGATTAAAAGCGCTCGAAACGGCCGTAAAACGCTACAAAGGGCTCACGTTCGGGAGCAAGGGCGGCGGAGGGGGGGGAGAAGGGGGGAAGAGGGAGGATATGAGGAGACGATGGAGAATTATATGAGAAAAATGGACTCCGCGCGGGGGAGAAAGTTAATTAAGCGCGATCGCATAACGTGCTCCTCCTGCCTGCGCGTCGTTGCTCCTACACGTCGGACGCGACACCAAGACGACGCTCGGCGTCGTGCAGAGATCCCGAGATCAAATTATACCGGCCCGGTGATATTATCCAATTTCGCGTTCCACATCGACCGATTCGCCCCGCATGTATTTCCAGTGCGCCTCATGCAACATGTAACAGCCGAAGCGCTCGCACGCGCGAGCGGCTCGGAGAATGAGCGCTAAAAAGGACAAACAAGCGGCGTTAATCAGCTTAGAACCTCGCGGAGGACCTCGCGCGAGGCTCGTCTTGATGGAGTGCGAGAGGACGCGAGCGGAGCGCGATCACCCGCCGCGAAAATAGACAATGTACATTGCGTTTGCTTGAAAATTGCGAGTAAGTATTGATTCGAGGACCGCCACTGATCTCTTCTCTCTCTCCTCCCTGCTCTTCGCCTTTTTGCACCGCGCGCTCTTCGTACGAACATGATGACGATCGCGGCTGCTGTTGTTACAGCGACACGATCTTCAGCGAGACTCTCCGGATACTCCCTTCGATATGTACGTTCGCTGCACAACAGACACAGCCTCGCGACAGCTCTGAATCGCGATATCCGATCGCACATTGGTGCGGTGCTTCGCAAGTACCTGGAATAGAATGACGACCTTTACGATCGTACGTGTCGGCGAAGCGGCGGACGTCGAGTTTCAAAGCGGACCTTGCAAATGAGACGCGAGCCGGCCGGCCGGCCTCGTTCTTATCCGGCATTTGCGAGTCCTCGAATTAGCGCGCGTCTCTGCCGAGTCGCCACGACAGTCGAGATCGAGAATCGGTCGGGGTTCTTCACGAACCTTCGCCGAACTCGAGCCCTGCTCCCCGGTAGGGTCTCGAGACTCGTGCCTCTCACCAGTGACCGTGCCTTGCAGATGGAATATGGGATCTGGAGTCTTCACGTCGCGGGTGAGCTCTGGGGCGACCCGCGTCTCGCCCGAAGGCATCCGATTCTGCCTCCCGGCGCGACGCAGATCCTACCGAGGGCCGCCTTCGCCCTGAGCGCCCTTCATCGGCCGGACATGCTGCCGTTGCCGTTGACGGCGGCTGGACCGCCCTACGCTCCTATAGAGCTGGTCACGAAGCCCTCGGCCGCGTCCAAGGACGTCGAGGACGCTGAGGAGGCCGAGAAGAGCGCGAGCGCCGAGGACGAGGATATTCAGCAACGCGATGACAACGAAGGGAACATCGAAAAGTCTGACCAGGACGAAAACCAGGTGAGAGCGACTGATCGATATGCCGGCAAATGGAATGTGAAAATAGAATATCGCAAAACGATAATGAGTAACTCGGTTTCACACGGAGGCGGCCGCAAACTTTCCTCCTCAAGCCTTGAGACTGATGGTTCTTCTTTTCAACCGGGAGATTGAAGTACTTTTATTAGCGTTTTTTTTTTGTTAGAAGTAAAACCTGCGATGCAAAACGTGAATATCTACCCTACAAGCAGCGTCTATAAAGACGATACGTCTTGAAGACTTTTGAGAAACTTCCGCAAGATGCCCTACTTTTCCAGACGCCTTTCTGGCATTCTTAATCCGTCTGAAAAATTCAGATCAACCTTCAAATTCAAATACGTGGGTCTATCGCACGTGGGGCAAGTTTCAAGTAACAAGTTGGAAGCTTCTGCCAGCTAGACATTCATCTCAGGCTGTCTTAAATTACGTCATGTCGACACTCGCTCCGCGTGCGCGTACACGCTCAGCCCTTGAGTGTTTGATTATTCAATCGTTAGCGATGCGTATCGCTGATGAAACGTCGATGCATCAGCGATAAGATAAGTTCTGTCTCTCATACACTTACCTCCTGTTCACATTGCCGGTCAGACTTGCGTGCCGAACGAAAATAACGACAACGAAGACGCTGGCGATGAGAGCGACACCGGGAGCACCAATAGTTCACATCGATCGGCCAACAACAATCTACCCACGAAGCTGCCCGATCCGATGTCATGCTTGGCCCTCGACAAGGTCTGTCCGTCGCTTTCTTGAATTCGTATCCTCCCGTAAAGTAGGCATTCTCCTCCTGCAGACACATCAAGTCCGTTAATGCCAATGTATTAATTACACACAGCTGACTTAGCGATGAGCTGTCGACACATTTGACACATCGTGCAGACTTTTGATCAATATTTTTCACACCGTTAATGCTCAGGAAGGAGCCGTGACGCCAGTTCTGAACGGCTGGGTGCTGGGTGCGTACACGGCGATGTTGGGCAGACTCTCCGCCGCGACCGCGGCGTTGGAAGCTACAGAGGTTTCCAATATCGCCTCCGACAGTGATTCCGAGAGCGAGCACTCGTCCTACACGGAAAAGTACGTAGAATATTAACACGTGCCGACCGCGCCACGCTGATTTCCGCTGATTGTGTCAGAATAAATCACGCTAAGATACGCATGCATTCGTCGGCTCGTTTTTCATCAACTCTATCAAACTCTATCAAAAGATTCGTCATTTTTTCTACATTAAACTGGCTGCATTTTACACGCAAATTAGTGGTACATACAAGTGCTTCCGACTCTCAAATCGATTCGACTTGAAGTTAGAGAGAGATACGTGCCAAAGATATACTGAAATACACTTAACCAAGATCCAGGGGCAGCAGTCCGAACGTGAGCAGCGTTCACCGCGGCTACTCCTGCGGTTCCTGCGACGTGGTAGCGCCGACGAGGCCCGCTCTGAGGAAGCACATTGCCGATTGCCATCCGACTCTGTCCAGCACTGAGACCGGCGAGGCCAAGAGGTGTCCGTCCACAGGTTGTGACTTCACGACGAGCAGCAGGTGCGAGATGGAGACTCACGTGGCGGCGCACGTGGCCCAGGGGATGACGCCTACGGGGAAGAAACGCTCCTTGGCCTTGCAACGCGTCAGGTATAGGTACTCGAACGATTTTATATAACTATCAATATAGCCTAAGCTCTCTCTCTTTCTCTCTCTTTCTCTCTCTCTCTCTCTCTCTCTCTCTCTCTCTCTCTCTCTCTCTCTCTCTCTCTCTCTCTCTCTCTCCCCCTCTCTCTCTCTCTCTCTCTCCCTCCCTCCATCCCTCCCTCCATCCCTCCCTCCCTCCCTCCCTCCCTCCCTCCCCCCTCCCCCCTCTCTCTCTCTTTCTCTTTTTCCCTCTTCGCTCTGCTGCAAAATCTTGCAATTAACGATTCCTTTACATGAACTTTAATTTATGTATATATATATACACCTTCACGGGTGTTATGTTCATTTCATTCTTACCTCGCAATGTGCAGATACGAGAGGGAGGAGTACCGATGTTCGCTCTGCTCGTACGCATGCACGATCGAGAAGGCATTTCAGCGACACCTGCGAGCACACGCGAGGGGCACAGCGCCGGAGACCAGGGTGAGCTGCGCCGTTTGCGGCGCCGACAGGTCCTCCGAAGTCGACCTCAGCAGGCATATGCGAAGGCATCGCGACGACCGATACTTCTGCTGCGACATCTGCATCTTTCGCACAGTGCAATTGAAGAAGGTATGTCGCCGGGTCTGTCCACGGCTTGCTGTAATCACAGTTTTTCAGTCCACAAACACTAAATTGGAAAAACTGGTCTGTGACGATAACACAAAACTAAACAAACAAGTTCCTTTTGCATTTTACCATTTTGCAAAAAAAAAAACCACGCAAAATTCTAAATTATTAATTAAAAAGTATTTGTGAATGATTGCGTACGATTATATGCTAATCCTCTTTAATCAACAACTCAGAATTTTCCGTAGTTTCTTGCAAAATGATAAAACTTTTTTGTTCACTTTTGCTGAATCTACAAGGCGACAGCAGACGTCACCATTACAGTTAATTTAACAGACCACGCAAGTTTCCTCACAATTCTTCTTTAATTAATAACTCGAACATTTACGTGGTTCGTAATAGAGGATTTTTTTATCCACTTTGACCTAATCTGTACAAAGCTTAATGTGATATCGTCATGTGTATCTTTTATACAATCTCAACTAATTTTACATTTGACTAATAATCTCATTTGATTTCTCGTTCTTGACGTGGAATAATGAACAATCGGTCTCGCCAAAGCAGATCTATAGCCGTGTAAGAGAGGGACATTGCATTTTTACAACATTGCCACACACATTGCGCTCGGAACGGACGGATGGTCGTGTGCCATGGCACGACGCGGTTGTTTAATGAACAGCGGCATTAATCACCTTATCGTTTCCAGTTGATACAACATCGGCGCATGCACACAGGCGAGAAACCGCATCTCTGTCCGCACTGCGCCTACCGGAGCGCGCGTCGCGACAATCTGCGTAGCCATGTCCGGCGAGTGCACAAGAAGGAGAATCTCTACTGCGACACCTTCAGCCCGCGCGGCATGCTGATCACCCCCTCGCTGTTAGCGAGGGACACCAGCCTGGCGCAGAGCCCGGCGTCCTCGCCGTCTTCGAATCCGGACGCGACAAACTAGCGAACACGCCCCTGCACAACAAAGAAGAAGATGATGAAGTCAGCGGTCCTAGAAACGCCGCGGGAGGAAGATCCCGGGGCCTATCGGCCCCTCACACGTCCTCATTTTGTCAATACTGCGATCTAGATAATTAGAATTCACAGAGGGAAGCCTTGCAGAAAGTACTGCACTTGGCAAACAGTCGCTCTCAGTTTTAGATGTTTGCGGATAATCGGGAGAATATCAGAGTCAGTCGAGCGTTGACCTCGAGATGAATCGAAAGCTAATCGTAGTCTAGCAACAGTGTGACAAAAGTAGCGGACGAAGTATGTAAGATAATGTAAGAGGTGAAAAAGAGGTGAAAAATCGCTTGAAAGTATGGGAGTGAGAGGAAGAACCCAAGCACAGTCGAGACGCAGTCGAAGAGAGATTGTTCACCAGATCAGCTATCAGCGAGGCTTCCCGCATTAGACGCTAGGAAACGTATAGATAATTGCATGCGAACGTCGATAATTTAATGTAACCTTTGAATTCTAATGAGATCTTGCATTAGCTATAAACGTCGAAATGTTACATTACGCGGTCGATCCGTCGATCGGATCGGCCGTTCGCCCGTTCGTCTCGATCGGTGACGACGAGCGGGAGAAAGAAGAAAGCTGCGAGATGGTGCTAGAATCAGTAGACTGAAGGATCACGGAAGAAAGACTGAAAGTAGAAGCGATTCACGGCGCGAAGTGACGTCCATCTCTTTTACGCTTTTTCGCACTGACCGCCGTGACTAAAAAAAAAAATTACGATTCAGCGAAGTTTAAGACTGCAACTCTGTACTGTTCCGGGGATTCTTGTATCGACGTCGTGACGCCCCGAAGATGAGAAGTCTTTTATTGCTTCTCGTTAACTACTTGATCAACTATTTCAACATAACTTCTAAAACCTGTTCCAAGCTGAATTTTAATCTGCGATCTCGTGATCTTTATTTCAGCTTTCCTGAAATTTATTTTAATTCTACAATTTATAGGTTCGCATTAGCGAATTTTGAATATTGAATTTTAAAATTGCCAGATTTCCATTTTTAAACAGAATCTTAATTATCGGAACCAAATTTTAAGCCGGAATATTAACTAAAATCATCCGACCCCATTCTTTATTTTAATTTCAGCCGTCAAAAAAAGAGATTTACCCGCATGTTAAAATTTTATTCGCGCAGTTCATTAGGGATTCTCGAGTAACGAGACTCGATTGTATCTCGGGCTAATTATATTATAGAGGCTGACGAAATGGCTGGGGCGCGCACAAGAATGATACGAGAACTCCGGCGGATGGAAAGGTGCTATTTTACGAAGATTCGTTTTGACGTTACGTACTAGCGTATAGTTCGCTCTCGCCGCACGAATCGCCAAGCTATAAGTAATTGTTAAGTACTTGTTAACGCGAACACATTGTTATCGTTGCCTAAGTTGCCGGTCGTTTTTTATTACGGATTAACGATTCGAGAACAACGCGCTATTACGATTACGATTATTATATTATAGCGACTGCGAGCAGGTAGAGTGTATTATGTCGCGAGGGATCGCGCCCAACGTGTTTCGCATACATAGATTCCTTGTATCCGCAGGATGCACACACATCCGCACACTTAAATCTATCGAATCGCCCGATCGGGCTTCCTCAAGGTGACGCCTAATTCTTCGCGGATTTATCGCCGACCGGTTTCGTAAACCATATTCGTACCGTTTCGTAATTCCACTTCACTTCTCCAACGAGCTCGGAGGAGAAGGATCGGTGAGCTGAGGTGTGACACAATGAACGAAGCAAGCGCGTTTCGCTTGAAGGAAACGGAATTTCCGCCTCTAAAGAACCGAACATGATGAATTCGAAAACGTTGCTTCAACCGATCTTTTCTTTTTCGTAAGAGGGACATGAGATTTGTAAGAGTAGAAGCAAAGTGGAACGTTGACAAAGCGTCGGGAACAAATTTACAAAGGACACACCAGCGTTAATTCCGGAAGCCAGATCAAGCGGTTTTCAAGTTACACTCGAACAAGGCTCTCCACTCCCGGTATACACCGCAAAGCAGGTATTTCTTGAGAATACCGGCGAACGATGTTGCTCTTCTCGCAAGATTCGAACGACCGTCGGGCGCATCCTCTCGCGACCGGTAGAAATATTTCGTGTACGTTTCTCTCTATAGAATCAGAGACCGTCCCCGACGACCGACCGCGAGTCGGTCGCTTGCACGTGCAGAAGGGGGAAGAGGAGGAGGAGAAGGAGGAGGAGGAGGCGACGACGTAGTACGAGGCCGATACTTATTATAAACGGGAATATATGTCAATTTTTAATGTATCATACAAATACGTTCTAGTCGGTAAACGATTTATAACGGCGTGGCGACGAACGTGGCCACGAGAGAGAGAGAGAGACAGAGAGAACCCGTGCTTCGCTTCGCCGTCACGCCACAACGTGATCCGCCTCGTCGAGGATCGTGCTACTACTCTAATAGACTACGAGGTATACGATGATGCGAAGTCGAAGCTGCACGGCACGGCACGAACTTTCACTCCGGCGCATTTATCATCCTTTGCATTCGAATCTCGAGTTTAGCCGCTCCGCCTGATTTCCCGAATGTTTGTGTCTCGTCATCGTGTTGTCGGGTGTTACCTTCGCCATCACCGCGAGTACCGCGAGTGTACCACGTGGATTCGTCCGCGTGCCGCGTGCGTGAACGAAGTGAATTTTAGGGTAAGCCATCGGCGTACGCGAGCGACTCTGTGATTTACGAGATCAATTTCAATGATTATATTACATTTACGAGGTTAAACGTAAACAAATTACCGTCTTTTTAGGTACGTGTACGCGCGGCTATCGTCGCGGCGGCCAACGTGATTACAATTTATGCGTAGACGTTATCACGACGTGTATATGTATATACATGTTACGTACACGAAGACACAAATCTGTTCATCCGAATGCAAAGGACTCGGCGTTTGCCGCAAGTATGTGTGTGTGTGTTTGTGTATACACACAATATGCGCCTACATGTAGGATTATTTGCTTCCGGTGTAAAGTGCTCCTTTTCAAGCGCCCACCTAAAATACCGCGGAGGAAATGCGTTGCCACATTCGGAAAAAATATTTCAAAGGCAAAAATGAGGTCAGACCGAGGTCGCTGTTCTGCCGCCTCTCTCGAAACCGAATGACTTTCGTCTGAAATATATTTCCTCCTGAACAAAGCATTTCTTCCGAGATACTTCAGCTGGACGTTTGGAGATGGGTCACCCTGTGGATGTATTGTATCGAGGCAATATTTTGTATTTCGCGCGAAAAACGTCTTCAGTATGCGATACGGCGGCTTTCGATGCGGCTCTTTTATAATGTATGATTTTTTACACGGCAACAACAGTGCGCGCTACACTTGCCCGCAGGGAACGAGATCTTCCGCGTTCTCTTCTTTTTCTTTTGCGTTTCTTTCACGCCGTTTCGAGAATATATATTTGTATATATTTACACGTATATATTTGCCGAGCGTGTTTCTCCGAATATTTTCAATCGCCGGGCGCTTTTTAGCGGCGATGTGACAAAGAAAGGGAGAGAAAGAGAGGTAGAAAAAAAGAAAGGAAAGAAGAGCCCTCTCTCTCTCTCTCTCTATCTCTCTCTCCCTCCCTTCCTTCCTTCTTTCTCTTTCTCGTGCTACGAGATAGGTTTATCGTTATGTACCGCGAAGCGCACGGTTTTTTACACACTTGCGCGATGAAGGTGGTTAAACTTGTTAATTACACGTCCGCGCGATTAGCGCGGACTGGCTCCGTCCGCCGTTAACACTTACGTGCACACGTCGACCGTCTCTCTCGTTTACTCTTTTATTTCCGTCCAAGACCACCGCAACACGGCACAACACTCGCATCATCAGCATTTCGTTCGTTCAATCACGTCAAGACGACTGTCGCGAGGAATCTATACGTAATGGAAGAAGGCGAAGGAGAAGGAACGAGGAGAGAGAATTCCAAAGAGAGACGGATTCAAGAGCGGCGCGAAATCACGCGGGCGACACGCTTCCCGGCGTCTCGCCCGCGTGGTTCGCGCGGGACGTAGTTCTCCGGCACGCGTGTGCGTGCACTCGACACTCGTTTGCGAAACGGTTCGAACACATTTTCTTCTCCTGACGAAGGTAAGAGCGAATCTTCGCGATCGCTATTCACTAGTCTGCGCGATAATTCCTTTGCGACGAGAGCCGAAGTGACAGTAAGAATGAGATAAGCAGAAGAGATGAGCACAATCAAGCTCGCAAAATCCTATCTTACAGTATCCACACGCAATCGCCAAAATTGTACGAATTCTGAACTCTTTTCTCAATGGAAGATCGAGCGGTTTCGATTAACGTGGAAATGCCTTAATTTTTCCGATATCTTCCGGACTGTATCCGTGATGTTCTTTGGAAATGTGCTGTCACCTGTATCTTTATTACATTTTTATCTCTCAGATCAAAGATTGTGACAAAGGACCAATATTTGTACGGTGCACCGGCACTTCGACTCTCGTCGTAAGCGATTACCATGTAAACCCATGAGCGGTGACTCGCAATCGCGACACGTCTCGTTTCGACGCGTCTCGAACTTCACCGGGAGAGACGTGCTCGAAGCGTCTCGCGCGAACGAGTGTGCGTATGAAGACAGCAGGGACATCTCATTATCGTCCGAGCGATCAGTCTCAGGTGTGCGACCGAGATTTATTCGCATTATTGTATTATGAGCTCTCTTAACTGATAAGCGGCGCCGTGCCAACATTACGAACAAAGAAAAAAAAAAGAAAACAAATGCGTGCCAAAGCAACCCCGATCACAAGGGGATGAGCGATGTTCTACGGAGGAAAGGCGAAGGGAGAGAAAGCTGCTTCGGACGCGAAGCGCGCGGCCAGAAGAAAAAAGAAAAGAAAAGGAAAGAAAAGAGAGAAAAAGAGATTTCGCCGTTTCCGAGAGATCGCGAGACTCGGCGGTGTCACGACGAATCGCTTGCCGAACCGAATTCCCGGCTCTCTCGTTCGATGAGTTAATTGACTCACGCAGGGAGGGATCAAAGGAAGTGCCTTAGACACTGGGCACTTTTATTTAGAAATTAAATGTTATACATGTTATTAAGAGATAATGTACGGAGTAAAGGACGTGTGTATAACTCTCGCGGATATAACTCCGCCATCCAATATCGCGACGCGTGTGTATGATCTTCCTTTTCATCCCCCGTTGGTTTTCCCCAAGAGGAGGAGATTCCTCTCTCCTCGCCGCGCTTCTCTCTCGGTTCTGCCCTCCCTGCGTAGGCAATTCCCCGGGAATTCGGTGCTTAACGCTGCTCGCTCGCGCAGTCTCGCGAATCTCTCGAATCCGCACGCGAATCACCGCCGCCACCGCCGATTACCGCGAGCGCGCTCGATCGTCCGCTTCCGTCCGTCGCGAGCGCGAGAACTAGTTGTTACAATCTTTTAACTGTTGAATTTTTGCTGTAGCAGTAAGTGTCTTAACGTATACCTTATATAAACTACACGATAATATATTCTATATTAATGTTTCTTAGATTTAAATCTAAACTCCGGCCGGGGATGTCGTCCACGGCGAACGTCGTCGGTCACGCTCGCCGCGAGTGCGAATCGAAGGAGGGAGAGAGAGAGGGAGGGAGGGAGCTCGCGGCTGGGATCCGGCAGAACCGCGACTCGGCTTATGGTTTACGTCACCGCGAGATCCTATCGACATCATGGATAAAGAACGAAGGGTTAAACGATTCAATACGCGGATATTAACCTCGAGATGGCAACGTAGAGATACTTGGAACTGCCGGCGTGTGTTCAAGTTAATCGACGTCTTATTGGAAGCATGGAAGTAGTCCCGAGGAGGATCCCCAGGCGGCACAAACGTCTAAGCGGACGTTCTGTGCCATCTGGGCATCTGTTTGTCCACGTAAGCGCAAGCGCTCAGAAATCGAAAAGAAACGAACAACTTTACTTATCTCGCGAAGAGCCGCGAGAAATTTCGCTGATCTTTCCTAGAATTTTCCCGTGATAGACGCCCGCTTGTAGAAGAGACACATGGCTATCTCGCGAAACGACCGGGCATTATGACAGAGACTCTCTCATTCGATGCGGCGAGTCGCGAGCTGACGAGTTGGCGGTGGAACGGCCGGCCGGTCGTCTTAAAAATTAATACAATCTAAATGTGATAATATATTTGCTATTGAATTATGACGTAACGATTACATTACAATTACTGACGTCGCGCGAAAACGTACGAAGAACAAGGGAGAGACGAGCAGTCTGTGAGAGTCCGTCTAAGCCGAGCGAAGCTGGGCGTTATCGGCAGGGTGGTCTGATTACCCGCTCCGAGGTCTTCCTCTGCGGGATATTGATCGGCTATGTGAGTACAAAGCGATCGAGAAATCGGCAATGCTGAGATCCGATCGACACGAGAGAGCAAACGTGGATCTCTTCTAGACCGATTCACAGCGTCTTTCTTTCAACGTTTCACTCTTCGTCGCACGCGTCAAGCGCTCTATTGTCGGATTTCCAATGTGTGTGTTTCACAGCACACTGTGCTACGCGTCTCATTGCGCGACCTCTCGACGACCATCGTGCATGATGATGACAGACAACGAAATTAATTTCTCACGTCTAGATAAAAACGGATGGCCGATGGTCCTTGTTGCTCTCAATTGTTTCTCTCCGTACTTGATACACTTATATGCCGCGAACGCGGCGCGCTCAAATGCACAGAGGAGATTAAGACCGCATCACCCTGCTGACGCTCGCACGTTGAACGTTCCGGTAGGAATTCGAAGAAATGGCGAGGCCGCGTTTTGCTTGCCAAATGAATAAAAAGACTCTTGCGCTCTACGCATAATATAATATATACACAAATATATAAATGTACGTGTATGTGTGTGAGTGTGCCTAAAGATTTTTTCCTCGGACTAATCTCTTACACTTTCTATGTCACTGTTTCTCTCTCTCTCTCTCTCTCTCTCTCTTTCTCTCTCTCTCTCTCTTTCTCTCTTTATCCTACGAATCTCGAATCACACGTTCCAGTCATATGCGACTTCGAAGGAATTATTATTGTAGTCCGACGACGACTTCGAATAACACGCAACCGATCCACACGACGCCTCGTATCCGTCGTCACTCTGGCCGCGGATTGATTCGACAAAAAGAGCGACAAAAAAGGAAGAAAGAAAAAAAAAAGACATTTTCTCGTTACAATTTCTCTCGTTGCTTGTGATATTATTTTTCGTCATCCGATAATAAACGCTTCGTCCGACGAGACTGCAACAATGTATAGGATAAGCACAGTGAGATCGCGAAGAATGTGAGACTTCGCGACATCAGGAACTTGCAAATCTGCCGTTAATTCCCACGAAGAACGCACACCCGCTGGTTTCTTTCTCTCAAAACAGATCGGTACGAGGCGTCGCGCACACCTATCGTTAATTTTGGTAGAAGCTAAGAGAGGAGCTTGGACCGTTCATCACGGCCGTCGCTCGACAAGGCAACTGTCCCGCGCCAAAGTTTCATTACGTGTTAATTGTCAATTAATAGAATCCAGGAACGCATAATGTCGAGAGGACGCAGCTTCTTCGCGAGCAGTCCCGCGACAGCTCCGACGAGAGGGAATGTTAGACGCGATTCGTTATCGGACGCGAGAAATAAGTTCGGCTTAGCTGTCGTCCTATCGACATTTATAAAGGCAGAGAGAGATGTTGCGCAGATGACACGTAGATAAAAAAGATAAAAAGAAAAAAAAAGGGTAACAAGGAAAAGCACAAGGCGAAAGATCTCGCGCGAAGCTGCCTTGTCGGCCGGCGGGCTGACTCGTATTGTTTAACGATTGTCTCTCTGTGTTCCGACATATAGTAGATATTCCGTCTCGATCGTTCCTCTTTATGAAAACGAAAAAAAAAAAAATACGTCTCACGCAGCCGCCACGCGGCGCACGCATTCACGTATTTTTCCTCCTCGGCAGGAACGACCGCGAGCGATCTCACCGTCTTCTGCCAAGTATACGAAAGTAAACGCGCGTTCTCCAATTTCCCCCGCGATCCTCGAGAAAGGGAGGAAGGAAAACAAGAAAAGGAAGGAGAAAAATCCGAGCTGGCGGACAATGCACGCCCCCCGCCACGCGGCCCACGACGCTCGAACTCGCGCTTGAATATTTTTTTACGATTTTATGGCCTAAGCATTTCGGCCTGAGAGGCCGAAAACGTAGGTACCTTACGGGTCTGCGCGATCGATATAAATTGTAAACTTACTACGACGACAAGGGGAATTATATAATAGAAGTGAGTCGCTCGCGGGAATGCCAACTCGCGCGGCGCCCTCGTGGATACGCCGATGATCTCGCGCGCGGAGGTGCTCCGCCCCCTGCGCGTACATTCTTAAGAACACGCAGCTCGTCTGCCGTTCGTTGAGTTAATCCTCCGCTGCTGATAACTCTTGAGTTAAAATTCGGTTACTCACATCCTGCAATCAGTGTCTTTTACATCGCATCATCCGGCACTTGAAATTTCGCCACTTACGTCTTCGCAATCAGTGTTTGACATTTTCACATTAAATTCTTTGTTTGGAAGAGAAAGAAAACAGTGTGACGTAATCAGCTCAGGAAGGATTAACAAACGAGGCAGATGAGCTTATGTATTACGTGTGTGTGATGATTTCTAACACTTGTCTCCTTCGTATGTCATCTCTTGCACACTTGTTCCTCTCGTTTCTTTTCCTTTCTTATTCTCGGCCTTTGTTTCGCGACGCGAGATGATCAAGGCCGCATCGCCTGTTACCAGTCGAAAATCATCAACGACACCGTTCTATTAATTGCCGCGCTGGCTCTTTTAAATCCGTGACGCAACATCAACGTGTCACTGAGACCTCGCCGGCGCGGGATCGTCGACGATCAAACGGCTCGTTCCGTCGCGCGTCCATGTATACGGCTACCAACACGTGCGTGCGTGCGTGCGTACCTGCTTATATGTAACGATCAATCTTAAGGAACTAACTAACGAAATAAATAGTTAAACTTGTCGTCACCATTGTGATTTAAGATAGTAGAGATACCCGTGCAAGTCGCTCGGCAGTGCAGGTGCAACCGACGCGTCTCTCCGAAGAAGAAGAAAAAGAAGAAGAAGAAGAAGCAACAAAACAGAACGAAAGAGAATCATTCGATCAAAGTTTTATAGGTCCGGCGAAATCTCGATTTCGTGAATTCATTTCGTCGAGCCAGAGAAGTTGCAATTGTGAAACGATATCGAGTAATCGGCGCAAATGAGACGCCACCTTGAAAAGGGGGAAAGAATCAGAAAAAATTATCCCGTTCTCGTTTTCAGTAGAGATGTTGTTGTAAAGGGGGTACCATCGCCGGAACTCTTTGGACATTCTTATCAATCTTCAAATTGGAATATTTAAGCTTTCAACATGTGTATACGTGTACATGTATCGAGTATGTACACATATTCAAATATATTCATATATATCCATACAAAACCATGTATATTCCACGGCGAAAGTTTAAGTAGGCCTTTAAATACTTATTGTCCCAGTGAACAATAAGAATGTCCGGAGTTGGGGACACATGTCGCGGTGCATCGGCACATTTACCCGACTCGATTTAGAAGCGCGAACGACGCCGGCCGGAGCAGCCCGTTCCCCCCGGCGTGCATATCTCACAACCGCGACGCCACATCGTTGCATCTGCATCTGGAGAACCCTCGGAACGGGTAGACGTTTACCTGTTTGTATAGCCAGAGTCATTATTCGGCTGTGGCACTGATAAAAGTCTTAATAAAGGTTTCATTAAAATATCCCCTGGCAGGACCACGTGTTGATTCGCGCGATCTCGGCTTACCGCGCTCGAGACGCACCGTGCGTCTGTTGCCATTGAGGCGATTTAATTTCAACGTCTGCGACGCTCGCGATCGACGCTGCGTCCGCATGTTGTTTACCGCGCATCTAACGGCGACTACAACGCGAAAACACTGCCGCGTGCAGTAGCGTCGGCGGCTGCCTGGCGGCCGGTCGCTGCAATTGGTGGCGTTGGCCTGTCCCTTCTCCCCTCAGCTCCGCTCCCCCCTCTTCGGCGCGCCAGCAGCGAGAAGAGCGACGGCGACGGCGACGTGTGGGCGACGAGCGCAACAACGCGTCAGTGCATAGGCACGAGCCGCGCCGTCGAGCTGACGCGCCAGCCCGCGTGTGACGACCACCCGTCGGTCCGTGTTCTCGCCTTTATCTTATCGCATCGCGCCACTCTTGTGTTCGCCTCGTCGCGACGCCGTGAGCGTGCTCCGTGGAAACGTTCCGCGCGAGAATCCGGCACGGAACGGGCCACGGACAAGTCGTCGCAGCATCCGAGAAACGTGCTCCGTGAGCGCGCAGCTCTACGAAGAGAAAGGAGGAGAGACGCGCGCACAGGCCAACTGTAAATCTACGCTCGCTTTGGCGCGCGCGTGTGTATGTGTGTGTTGTGTGTGTGCGCGTGTGTGTATGTATGCGCACGCGCGCGCGCGCGCGCGCGTGTTCGTATGCGCGTATGGAACTGTGTGTAAAAGGCGCAAGCCGATGTGTCAGCGCTCACGCTCACGTCTTTCTCCGCTTGTGCCGCTCGCGTGAAGTGTCTCTTTAACTTATTAACGCTCACGAACGATACATATTGGGGCTTTCGTTCCGGGACTCTTGCTGACGACGTAGTGAACTCTTGTTTCTTTCTCTCTCTCTCTCTCTCTCTTTTTCTTGGCTCGAAATCGCGTTGCCGCAGTCGGAAACGCAGTGCTCCTTGACTAACGGTGAACGTTACTCTTCTCCTGCAAGATCGAAAAACCGGCGGATTAATGAAGTGAATCTCGGCGAATCTCCAACACTTCTGCCTACTCGCTTTCTCTTATTTTTAGCTCAGAAGGCCCGGACACTCGCATTTTCTTTTTTTCTTAACAGTCTCGTCCACGACTACAGTTCGGCTCACCTCGGGCGAACTGTATGATTCACTCGTGTAAATACATGAAATATTACAGATAACACGTATAACGTGTACAAGTGAGTGAGCGAGCGAACGAGCGCGCGAATAATAATGACTCACGTGACAGTGGAAGAAGTGGCGGGCCTACATCGGGGTAGACGGGGCACGTTGACGAGTGATTGAGAAATAGACCCGTTGACCCGCATAGCCAAGTAGCCAGCCCCGAAGGAGATCTGCAAAGTGGAAAAGCATCAGTTTTCTCTGCGATCGGAATCAAAATACCGCGATCGTCGAGGTCGGATTCACCGGCAGGAAACGGGAGCAGTGGATCGAGAGGAAGAAGGGCCGAGAGGGAAGGGAGAGCCGTACCGTGACAGTGGCAACGACCAGGTGGGTCTCTGACCCGCGTCACTGACGGAGAACAGCGGATTCGTAGTCTCCAGGCGACGTGACTCCCATTCCTAGAGAGAGAAAGAAAGAGAGAGAGCAATTGTTAATTGTTTCACGAAATTCAACAGTCAGCCCGCTCTCTTTCTCTCGACCTCGAGAGTTCGTGACCCCGGAATTCTCACGTTTTCTCGTCGCTCACGAAAGTATTCCAGTCGATATAAGTGACACGTCTCTCGGTGAATGTCTGGCGAGGAAATCAAGTGAAATTTTAAAAATTAATATTTTTCATATTTTTCGAAAGTATAATTCGTCGGGGTTACGTCCTTTCGGCATTTGGAGCGCTTTAATCGTGATATAATTGGTCTTGATTAATTAGTCTATAATTATCGCTATATAATTGGTCTTTAATGCTTCTCGAGAGAATTACTCTTGGTCCTGTTATTCGAGATAGAAATATTAAAGCATCGTGCTTTTTCTGAAATTTATTTTATACAAGAATCAATTCTCCAGATCAGTCGTATTAGTGCGAACGATATCAGGTTTAATAATGACTCGCGATATTTTTTGAAAAAAAAACGTCTCTTGCGCACACAAAGTACGATAAGAGACTGCAGGTCTACAGGTGTTTCTCCTGATATAACAGTAATTAACGGCATAGCGCGTGAAACGTCTGTAACTTGTTTGCGAGCAGCATGGTGAAACCCGCATTATGTGGTATTAATTATAACGATGCCATACTTTCCAGGCGTTACATAACGAACCGCGCGTTTCAAAGAGTTCGACTCGTGCGACTCGAATGCATTTCGTCTTACACGATGTAACAATAATTTTCAGCGAAGCAATTAAGCAAAGCACACGTCAGGCGAACGAGTTGGCATTTTGTTCGACGACGATTCTAAAGTGCACGCTCGACTCGCCGATGTTCAATGCCAAATTTCGAGAAGCATTAAACCGCCGTCGCAGCTTCCGCTCGCTTCACCGCCTCGAGTCTCCTCCGTCCGTGGCTTGAACGCTAGACTTTCTCATTACACTCGAGCAGCTCCACGATATTCATGAACTTCTCTTATCTCGGGAATGTTACAACCTTTCAGAAGATAACGAGTCACGTTTATCGTTCCTCACCACAAATTAATCATTCTTCTGGAAGCTTCAGATGGCCGATTGATAGATCTGTTAACAGTGTTCGATAATGCCGATAGTGATCCATGATTCGAAGTAACTGCGTTTACAACCACGCTGCTTCTTCGTTCTATGAAGAAACCTCCTCAGCTGAATGCTTCTTGAGAGATTTCCTCTTTCCTCCTCCCCTTGAGAGAAAACATCCACAACGTGAAGAAAGCGAAAAGTGTAAATAACACTTCCCCCCTCCCTCCCCTCGATATTTCAGGCATGATTTAACGCGCGCGCTCGGTGGATTCGTTAATTTTTGCATGACTTCACTTACGCACGCTTTCACTTCAAAGGCGAGAGACACGGCCGAAAGGCGACGTTAGATGCAATTGAAGTGCAGACACACGGGACAACAGACGTGATACACTCGCCGGTCAGTTGAAATAGAAGCCGGAAACTATGGGCGTCGGTATCGGCTTTCGGACCGATGAGTCACAGTCCGCGAAGCGGTCCTAGCCGACAATTCATAATTTCCTTTCCGTTTGCGCCGCTCGTTGTCCGTCACGCATCCAGCAGGGAAGTAGCAATTTGATTAATCCTGCAAGCAAACAGCTCGGTAAATAACGGTGCTCTCGCTTGAGAACGCGGCTCAAAGTGTAACGCTCCGCTCCCTCGCGACCGCTGTGTGCACATTATCCCGCTAATCAAGGATGCATCGGAAAAGAAAACGACGTTCTCGATAGGCCGATCGTTAGAAATTTCTGGGCCGGACAGTTCACCGCGCTCGACGCAGCGAAGAAACTAGAGGAACTCTCTCGTACGTTTCAGGATCAATGACTTGATATCAGAGAGTAGCGACAGACATTTTCTCTGTCTCTCTCTCTCTCTCTCTCGCTCTCTTGCGCGAGGGACGTGAGGTCGAGGAAGAACGCTGGCCCACGATGGCGACGAAGCCGATACCAAAGCCACGCTCGCTCGTAGCCGATAACAGACCGATACCGGCGCCCCGGAGAATTCCACCGACCTTGCCACCAGCACGATCCAGCAGTCCCACGAGTGAGTCCAGTCAGTCAGAGAAGAGCGATGACTTGCGGTCGATCGGCATCAACGACAGCCAACGCGGCGGCAACCACGAGTTCTTCCGCAGCCTCAGCACGAGCTCGCGCCAGCTGAAGGACGAGATCTCGGAGAAGATGACGGTAAAGGGACGCGCCATGATCTCCAGCACACGGAACGCCAGCATCCGGCTGGAAAAGTCGGTGAAGAACCTGCTGACCCGGCGGTTGTCGTCCTTGAACCAGGACGACGTCAGCCAGGCCTGCGCGAAGAAGCTCAAGGACCCGATCGAGGAAGACAGATGCGTGTCTATGCCAACCAACGACATCTTCAGCAGCATCTCGTTCTACAGCCCGCTTAGCGGCAACCTCAGGAGCGTGAAGAACGAGGAGGACCTGTCCTGCGCCAGGCACAGTCCGCCGCCCCCGGTTTATCCACCACCCCCGCTTCCGGACGAGTCTATCTACGACGAGCTGCAGTCAGTCATATCAGGCAGCAGCGGCCGATACGACACTCTCAGCTCGACGGTGTCCGACAAAGTCGAGCGCGACTTCCCGGAGTCGTTCAACCTCCTCAGCTTGGCGCGCAGTCAGGTAAGACGATCGAACGCGGCTCGCTCTCTCCTCGCGCGATCAGCCCGTGAGTCGTGTAGTCGTCACCGCGGTTTTTCTTGATGTCGCTCGAGCAGAAGCGTCTTTATCTCATGCTCCCAGCGTTGCGCTGCAAATATCAAGTTCTGCGTTTAATATATCGGGAGAAACTGCTCCACTGGTGCAACTGAATTTCCTCTCAGTCGGGGACGGGACGAAAAGTCGGTTGCAGGAACGAGAAGATTTTTATAGGGAGGTCTTTACTTCCAGGTCAATTGCTCCCAATTGTCCCGAACGAGTTTTAATGCTGCTGCTTGTCCGGATGAATATTGTCGATCGCAGTAAGAGAAGCGTCGTTTCTCGTCAGCGAATTTTCGTCCGGTCTCCAACAATTTGCTTATCTTTGCAATTTTTATATTCAGCCATGTATGTATGCATTTGAGATCGCTAATAACGCGCGAGAGCCGCTTGTCTCGGTGTGAATAGCCCTTCTGCCAAGTTTCAGTTATCTCATTTATGCTTCTCTCTGTCGACATTGGCATTCATTATTTCTTTATCTTACCCGCATCCTTCCTCCTCAATCAGGATAGCGACGATTCCGACCAAAGCTTAAACTTGTCCGACGTCAACGTTAGTCTGTCGCAAGACAACAAGTCCGAGACGTCCAAGAGGCTATCGCGTTCGGATTCTTGGACTTTCTATGACGCCACGCCTAGCGCGAAGCCCGAGACCATCGACGAGGTCGATAAGGTGTCCAGGGTGGAAGAGGAGAGCGTGGAGAAGTCCTGCGAGAAAGTGTCGACGATAGACCGGACTTCTTACGCATCCAACGAAAGCCAGGCTTCCATCCAGAATTCCCTCTACGAGAACTTGCCGCCGCCGAAGATCGACAGCTGGCAAACGTCTGTAATTAGTCCCTCGGATACCAGGCAACAGAGCAGCAAGTCCCTACTCTTCGAGTTTGATCCGTTCGCGAGAACCGCCGACGAGAATGTCTACAGCAATTACGAGAACAACGACCTGATGCTGTTGGAGGCACTCTTGGCTACCAACGACTCGCCCAGTAGAGCGAGCAGCACCATGGAGCTTCGCGAGGGCATCGACATCGAGGAAGAGCACGAGGACGAGGAGCTGGCGCATCCCGGCATCAGTTCGACCCCTCCGGAGCCGCCCAAGAGGTTCGACTCTCTTCCTAAAAACGAGTACGACGAGGTGGAAGGTGTGGAGCAACCCGACAAGGTCATCTCCGGCAAGAACCCGCCTCTCTTGCCAAAGTTGGCGCACTTGGTGACGAAGAAGCAGCCTGCGGTGCCTCCCAGAAAGCCTACCCTGAAGAATCCCGCGGATAATCCGTCCCTGACGTCCCCCAAACCGGCTGTGAGCGCGACGACGATGGCGTCGGCAACGACGACACCTGCCAACAACGTCGAGGGGAACGTTACCAGCTCGTCGTCCGGCTCCAGGGTCGCCGAGGATCACCGTAGGGTCGGCATGATACAGAAACTCAGGAAACTGCGCCAGGAGTCGACGGTGCACGCTATCAAACCCAATGTGATCAGTTTCGTGAAGACCGGCAGTAAATTCTTGTCCAGGACTCGTGAACATATCAGTGAGTCAGCTCCGAGGTCGCCACGAATGGAGAGGCCAAAGATCAACGTTCCGCACAATCAGGTCACACACCGAGGAATGGTGTATAGGTAAGAGGCAGACCCTGCACGAGAACAAGAGATGCGAGATTTTAGGCCTTTAGAAAGAGCTGTGCATTTGAGCCACGAGAAATTTGGAATTTTCGACAAAATGAAAAGGCTCTCGAGATATCCAAGCGAGTTCAAACCGATAGTTTGGGCCAAACCGCGTTCGTCAAATTTTTTCAACGATAAATAAAAATGTTACGTATAAAATAATCGTCGCGTATGATAATCTATCCGCATTCGGAACAACACAGTGTTTACGTTTAGGCTTGTTATTTATCCCTGAAGAGGCTCCAAATATGTGAGACCGAAAATTCGTCGTACACAAAATAAGAAGAGGACGCTGGCTCTTAGCAGTCTTTAATATTTTCGTTTAGAATTGTAATCAACATATCACGCTCTGCCTCTTATAATTGGCTCTTGGAACCAATCGAATAGACTGACATGAAGCAACGCACTAATTATCGATATTCCGCGTACAGATCCGGTGTGGGCATCGAGAGGGCCAAGGACCTTGTGGTGCGAGCGGCGGTGCTGATCGACCAGAAATTATCCTTCTACACGGACAAGAGCATGTCTACGCTGAAGGAGAGCGTGGAGCTGGAGACAGTGCATAGTATTCATCTGCTGCAGGACGTCAAGTGAGTCTGTTATTCCACTCTGGAACTTTATAAACACGGCGCACGCCGCATTATGACGCTGTTCTCTCGCGAGTCGACAGATTTCGACGTCTCCTCGCGACTCGGAGAATCGGTTCGTCCCCGCTGATGTTTTATTCAGTACGTTGAACCTACTGACAGAGAGCACAGAATAACTTAACGCGCAGGTTGTGCCAAATGTTCCCCGCCTTTGCTCGCGGCTGCGGATCGGCTAATCGCCACTTGGATTCGACAGCTGATTGTGTCCGAGTAGTATAACCTGTGACTCATTTACTCGGTAAATAAATTTACACTCAAAGTATCAACGGCAACGGCCCCTGGCACACGTTTCTGCCTCACTCTCTCCTCCTTTCCGTTTTCCGCGCTCTCTCTCTCTCTCCTCCTTCTCCTCCTCCTCCTCTCTTTCTCTCTCTCTCTCCTCTCTCTCTCTCTTTCTCGCCCTCTCTCTTCAAAAGACTGTCTCAAGGTCCTCTTTGTTGAGCGAGAAGAAAAGGATCTCACGGGAGAAGATCGCATCTCGAGCGTAACGACCTGACCTTGGTCGCGCCGCAGTGATAAATTATTCCTCGTATGACTCTTCGGAGTCTCGCGCTCCGCTGATGTATTCTCTTTCCTTTTTCTTCTAAGAAACGGAACATCCTATGAAAATTCCTAAGTTCACAGATTCGCGTTAACGCAACGTCGTGGCTTTCTTCCCCGCCTCGCACACCTCACCGCCGATGTCGACGCCGCGCGCGCGTTTAGTCCGTATTTAACACTCCATACCTTTACTCCCCTTTGATTCATCACGCAGCTGGTAATCCGGCCGGCGCATATAAGCGAGCCGCTTGCCGGCCCGTCGCGATTACTTGATGAAGGTAATTTCGGAATGTGCAGGACCGTGGACGGCGAGACGGTGCATTGCATAGCGATTAGCGGCGAGGGCAGACCGAGCGTGCACATTTTCTACGCAAAAGGCGTCTCCGAGAGGCGAATCTGGGCCCAGAGAATTCTCGAGGCCACCACGCCGGTCTTCCCCACGAGGTACACCGCCGAACTCACCAAGGCAGGTTGGGCTTACCTGAAGGTATGCAAAACCGCGATGCTGTCTGAGTACAAGTTGCCTACAATATCAACATGTAGAATCGAAGGAGGGACAAATTAGCGTAACGGTAAAGGTAACATGCGACGTTTTGGCGAATTCTCGTGTGAAACTGATCATTCCTCACGTTGGAATCTCATATTAATCTGTTACAACGTATTTGTGCAAGCTTGCCCCGATCATCCTCCAAGGTACGTTAGAATTTTCTATCGCTTGTTCGCGCTGGCTCCGTTAATACAATTGACTGCCACGTCGAATTGAATTTCGTTTTTGTTCTTTCTTATATAATTAATTCCGTTGAGAAGACATGTTTGCCAGTGTTGCTGAGCAATGTTGCTCTTCAGCAGCTACAGGATCATCCTGTGTAGTACCAGCATCTCTGGGAATGTGATGTTAATGCATTACACTTACGTAACGCGTGGCAGTCAATGTGTTAAAGCATATCTCGTTTGATCTTTCGCGAATCCTAATCGCCCGTTACGAACTGTCCGCGTTTGCGTGAGCGGAAGCTCATATACGCTGACATGCAAATTCCTCTGCCGCAATTTCGAGGACGTTCTGAATATTCCCCGGTTTTTCGTTGCTACCGATGACAACGGCCCCTCTATTCATCCTTGACAAAATTCAGACTTCTGCACGGGGAAAAAACATTGGTCGAGTCGGTGTGACAATGAGGGAGACAGATCTTCTGCTTCTTGGAGTTCTTTCACTTCCTCCGATCAAACCGCGCGTGATTCGCTCACTGTCGCGTTAACTCGACCAATCATTTTTCCTCCTTGGATTGGAATACAGCCTTTTATACCTGCTGTTTATTATATACCTGCTACATTTTTCCAGGAAGGTGTAACAGGCACGTGGTTCGCGGCTTGGCTACTGCTGCAACAAAGGACTCTGATCTACACAAAATCCTCCGATCCTACGTTCGCCGTGAACTTCGAGCAAGTAGATCTACGGAAAGCCCGTTGCATCGGTGAGTGTTGCGACTGGTAGATATATTTTGGCGAGTTGTGCGAAATTTCGTGATCAAAACGATGTCATTTTAAGAGCCCACGAGAGTCCTATAAAAGATAAAAATCATATCTTTTCGATGGTACATCTCAGAGCCTTTGAACGAAACGCAACGGATTGTCAACGTTAAACATCAAAATATGGCTGTTTCTTGCACTTTCGTGCCCAGATAACACAAATGTATAAGCGACATCGAAGAGACGCGTCTCAAACAAGCAAGACACTTATTGGAAAGCTCTAAGCGGTCATTTAAATATTCACACTATCTGAAATATTTAAAGAAAAAAAAAAAAAAACATGACAAAACACGATATCAGTTTGCGAGACTATCGTGACCCAGTAAGCGTCGTAAACCGATAACAAAAACACGGTCTATTTATATATGATACAAGTCGAATTATCGTCTTATCGATGACTCAGTCCGAACCGCCGCGAGTCGTTCAATTGAAGGCTCCCGCGCCGTCTTACTCACGCGGCGGACGTGTCTTCCACGAGGAGCGATTTTGTCGGAGAAGTCGAAGACACCGCCGTTACGAGTTCAATCGCGGTCCTTCGCACGTCCCACCTAATTACATTCGTAATTACACCGAACGGGACAATGAGCTACCGCTCACTCGCGACTGACTCATTCGACGTTTGACGGCAGTGCTGCGGGACCAGGAAGGACCGATCAACGGATGCGGATTCGTTCCCGTGGTAGTCGTCGACGCAGGAGGCAGCGGCGCTCTGCACATCGCCACGCCGGCGGCGCGCGAGGCATCGGCTTGGCGGCATGCGCTTTACCAGGCCGCCACGAATTGCGGGCCCGCCTTGGAGCAGCAGCAGATCACGCAGGACAACGTGCCGGTCATCCTGGACAAATGCGTCAACTTCATCTATGCGCACGGTAATCGATGATGAATCATCCGAGGACTCGGAAGAGTTCTCCGCGGAAATCGTGCTGCGCGTACGCGCGACAAGATGCGTTGCAACTCGATGAGGCGGCAACTCGAGCCGCCGTCGCGTCGTCGTCGCGCAGAAATATGCCGCGCGATAATTAATCGCGCGAGTTCCCTTGACACGCACGACGTCATACGATCGTAACTCTATGAAATGCATCTCGCAAAACCTCCTTATCTTCCAGGCATGATGTCAGAGGGCATTTATCGGCGCAGCGGATCGAGCAGTGCCGTGGTGAAGCTGCTGGAGGCTTTCAGGAAGGACGCGTGGGCCACGCAGATCACGCGGAATTCCTACACGGAGCACGATGTTGCCACGGTGCTGCGGAGATTCCTGCGCGATTTGCCGGATCCGTTGTTTCCGGCTAATATCCACGATCGGCTCTGTCTCGCCGCAGGTACGGCGGGATTCACCGTCTGTCTTACAGCGGGTCTGGGCTGAGAAGAGAAGGCAATGGGCATTAGAGTTGGACTCTTGAAAAGTAACTCACCTTTCGCTCGGAGCCGCAATGTGATTCTTGGTGAAAGGCGTTCTCCGCGCTGCCAAAAGTCGTGATAACGCTTGAAGCTTAGAGTCTACGGCGGTTGGAAGCGTGGGGAATGCCTTTTGTCAGAAATTAAGTCACACTTCGGAGGTCAAAGTATTGTAGAGCGGACCTTACAGTTACCATCGCCGTTACCTGGGAGAGTAACTCGTTACCGTTATTTTTAGGCAAGAAGAAGTAACGAGTCTCGTTACTACTCCCGTTGCTTTCCTCACCAAGTTTTAAATATATCTCTTAGGAACCTCTCTTTTGAAATTTGTCGCCTCCTATTTCATGTTCTACAATGCAAAGTAACGATCCTATTCTCCATGAAAAATAATAACATTATCGTCATTGTTATTAATAAGAAAAATGTTACTAATAAAAGTAACGGTAACGACATTACAAGTGACGCGTCGCTTCTCAGCCTGACAAACGTTAATCCTCCCTTACTGATCCCCTCCTCTGTGTAGAATCAACCAGCGAGGAGAACCGAGTGGCGACTTACCGAAAATTGTTGTCCGTCCTGAATCCCGTGACGTCGGCGACGCTGAGGCGGATCCTGGCGCACCTGCACGGCCTCAGTCAGCAAAGCGCCAGGAACCTCATGACCGTGGAGAACCTGTCCGCGGTATGGGGTCCCACGTTGATGCACGCGGGCGAGAACAGCGCCGAGGAGTGGAACCGCGCCGAGACCAAGGTGGTCGGCGACCTCATCAGGCTGTACCCGAAGCTCTATCAGCTGTCGTCGGCCGAGTTGGCCAAAGAGGCGAAGATGTTGGAAGTTCTTGAGAAGCACCACGTGTCCAACAACGGCCCGCGAGCCGCGCCATCGGGGGATCTGAAGATCTGGATACATATCTTGTCGCCGAATGAAAAATGCGTGAACGTCACTGTAAGACTCCTCACCTCGGACGCCTCTTTCCTCTACTTGAATCGTTTAGACGATTTCAGCTTTTACCTGCCGTCTATTCGCGGATTCTGCAAACTCTTGCGAAGACAGATCTCGCGCAGCAAGTCGGGTAAAAATTCTGGCAGAAGAATGCAGCAGGATCTATAAGAGTAACAGGAGATGAGAACAGGATAATAGGGTGGTAAATTGATGACGAAGACCGAGCAGGATCTGTTATTCCAGAAATATTCGAATGCATTCATATGAAACATATCGCAGATCCCGTTCGGTCTCCGCCGTCAATCAACTGCCAAGTTATATCGGCAGATTAACAGTTCTGTTAACAAAATCCGGTCTCGATACAGACAGAGATGGCCATCTGCTGCGGTATTCTGATCGAATGCAAGCTCGATGCCGATCTGCCGATATATTGCTAATTTTACTTTTTGAGATTCATTTGGTACTCTCGGATCATCTCGATAAAAAAAAAACTCGTTTTTTCCTCCAATATAATGAATAATTTTGTGTCATACATTCCCCGAACATTGTAGAGAAAAGGCAAAGCAAAAGAGATCATCAGTGACTGTATTTGTTGATATTATTCGTCGTTTATTTACAAACATTATCTCATATATTACTCATAGCAGGAAGTATTTCCTACGATATGCGACGCGATCTCTTAACCGAAACAATCAATTCCGCAATTAGATCGGACCTCAGAAGACCGCTTTCGACGTATGCCGGGAACTTGCCGAGAAAGCCAACTTACCAGCTCATGAATTGTGCCTGGAGGAGTGCACGCTGTCCGGCGCGCTAGAGCGGCCATTGCATCACAACGAGCGCGTCCTAGAGACAGTGGCGAGGTGGGGATACTGGGAGTCGGATGACAGGAAGGACAACGTTCTGATCCTCAAGAAGGACCGGTTGTATAAGGACATCGTGCTGCTGGTGCGTGCTGCGATGCAACAAAAGAGAGAAGCGTGTGAGACCGAGCCGCGTTATTTATTAGTTATGTATCGTGCGTCGGCAATTTGTCGTTCGCCGCGAGAAACAAGCACGATTTCCTCCGCACGCGCAATGCTGCAGTTCCCACGATCTGAATTTATAATATCCAACACATCGTGAGTTCAAGGTTGTACGCGAGCGCGAGCTCTTGTACGCTTTTGCGCGCGCGGATCGGGTTGCGAGTAAAGCGGGTAGAAAGATGCGTTCCACGAAAACAGGATACAGTTCAATTGAAGTTAATTGTGCTTCTTTTATCTCTGTCGCTCTCTCTCTCTCTCTCTCTTCCTCCCACTCTCTATCTCCTCTCTATCTTGGCTTCTTTTCTTGATCCTTAATAGGTGAAGCCGCCTATGACGATCTCAGGGGAACTCAAGTTCGCTGATACCCGGACAAAGAACTTGAAGACATACCTCTTCGAGTTCAGTCAGGCGAAGTTGTGTTGCTACAAGGACAAAGTGTGCTCGGTGAAGCTGCACGAATGGAAGATAGAGGATATCATTTGGTACTTGGGACATGAACCGAAGCGCAATCCACAGATGGGGTAAGTATAGTGTAAAATAAATTGATGATGTACATACAGAGATGTAGTATATATTTGTTACGAAAAAGTTAACATACTCATTGCCGTATATATTATCTTCATCTTTTTTACACACAGCTGGTCCATCACCTTCATAATGAAGAACAAGAAACCGACTAGGTAAGCATCATGCAAGTACAGCATCTGTCGATGATTATAAGAGAATTCTTCAGACCGTTATAAAATTTCGTAACGCTTTAGAATTTACTAGTTATTGTGTAATTTTATTACGATCCGATTGTTCACTTTAATATTTCTGGAAGATACTCGTTACAGGATAGACAAAGATTGGAAAGTTCCCTCATTTTCTTTTAGATGCAAGGACAGCCCGTATTTCGGCAACACTTTGGCGGGCACATCTAAGGACGAGCAATACAGGTGGTTGGCAGCCATGCTCTTTGGCGAATATCAAATGAATCTTCGTCCATCCGCGGTGAACCTCATGGATCCATGACTGATTATTCTGTTATTACAAGTCACTTAGTGTTTTCAAAGTGATCAGGTGATAATTTTTACCGCGAAAATCCTAAGATTTCGAATGAATACGCGAACGTGTACATACAGTATTCCAGCCGACTTTTGATAAAACTGATTAATTTAATATTTTATAGTTTCTTTATATGTGCGCTATCCTAGGGAAGTGATCTCGCTTTTGAAAGCGTTTATACAACATAGTGCTTAATCGATTTATATTTGCACATTGACGACACCGTTAAAGTTGACTACTATCGTTGTCAAATAACAATCATGTAACACGCCATTTATAGAAAAATAAGATTAATGAAATATTAAGAGAGCGATATATGTGTACACGATGTTTTATAATAAATCTATTTTGAACATAGTACTCACAGAATGGATACCATACGTATTCAATAACGTAAATCAATTTGTTTTTTATAATATTTTAAACATGCCTATTTGTAAAAAGATCTAGATATTATATAAACTAAGCTAATCGTCGCTGCATAAAAATTACATTAAAATACATTTATCCATAAGATACACTATCCCGAACTCTTATTTATTTACTTACTTATTACTTTTTTTTATTTACTTACTTATTTTTTTTTGCATTATTTATGCAATTTCGGACCTAATATTAGATATCTCACACATCTGCGAATAATTTGGAAAAGACTGTGAATACAGGGATAAAGGATCAACCGCGGCATTGGGCATAAAAATATCCGCGTCATCTAAATCAGCAATATGACATATCGCTCTCCTAATCTCACTTTTCAATCTTCTCTTACTTGCTTCGGAGCGTAAACTACGTAATTCTAATGCCACATACTCGCCGAAGCGATCATCTTCATCCTGTATTTTCGGTAAAAACCGCGATGAATGTCTCGATTCCTCATCACAGTTGATATTTACATATTTAGTAGGAATTATTTTCTCACATCTTTCTTCTATCCCATCGATTTCCACGTATTCGATTGTATTCCTTTCTTCATTCGGTATTTTTGGTAAACATCGCAATGAATGCTTCGGCTCCTCGTTGCAAGTCCCATTTAAAAATTTAATAGGAATCTTCTCATGTCTATCTTCTATCTCATCATATTCTATGAACTCAAATGTATTCCTCTCCTCTTCTGGTAAAAATTGTGATGATTGCTTTGATTCTTCATAAATATTGGAAAATTTATCAGAAATCTTCCTGCGTTTTGCTCCTCTCTCATTAAATTCCATATATTCTCCAATAATATTCTTTTCTTCATCCTCAGCTTTTGGTCGAATTTGCAATAAATGCTTTGTCTCTTCACTGTAGGTACCATTTAAGAATTGTGCAGAAAATTTCTCTTGTGTTTCTTCTGTCTCATCCAATTTTATACATTCAATTGTATTCTTTTGCTTATCTAATCCTTTGGATAAAAGTCTCAGTGAATACCTTGATTTCCCATCATTATTTAAATCTTTCTGTGATTCCTTCTCAGCTATTTTCTATATAAAATAATAATCTCAATACAATAATTTATCTATACTAATAAAAGTATATTAATTTATTTTTCTCGGCATTAAATTGTATTATATATGTATAAATATATATGTACATATATATGCATATTGTACACACATATACATATATACATTGTGTTATATAACTTACTTTATACTTCCGTCCATTTCTATATATCACAGGTAATAAAAATTTCATTACTGGAAAATAGCGCCATTTACTGATAGGCATTTCAGAGTTTTTGAACCTTTCTGTGTTTTTTCCTCTTACTACTTCTAGTTGCATCTGAAATAAGCAACAAGGAAAGAAATATATATATTTTATACACAGCAAAGAATATTTATATTTGAATACAGAAATTTATGAAACATACACGTATGCACACACATACACACACACACACACACACACAACACACATTCAACATATACATACATACACATATATAAGGTAAATTTAAAGTAGCATATTAGTAACTAAACACTTCATAAAGCTATTTTATTAAAAATTTTCGATTATCATTTGCTCACCCGGCTTCTCAAACTTCGTATTTTTCTATTAACCTCCTTTGGCGTGATGTTCATAATTGTTGCGATAGTATCGATTACTCTTGCCTTTGCGTTTTTATTCCCATATTCTAAATGCTTAACATTCCATAACAATGGATTTGCTTCGTAGTATTTGATTAATTCTAATAACTTTTTCTCAGGCCACGTATACCTTCTCATTCCGGCAAATTAGTAACTCACTCTCGACGGTTAAGATATACCGAATTCAGATTCTGTTTGTATTAGATGATTTTCTCTCAGTATTTCGTCTTTTCCATACAAAATTGTGCAAATCGAAATCGCCCAAAACCGAATAATCAATGAAGCTTTACGTATATCACACATGCAAACGCGGAGCAATTGTTGATGTACTCAAAACATTCTGACGAACAGTCGACTGTGGACTAACAATCGACAACAGTAATACGCATGCGTAACGACGCGCAATATAGTGCAGCTATCCTGTTGTAACGTGCACCTAGAGTATCTGATCATCTCTATCCAACAGAAATAAAACCTACTACCAAGCTACTTTAGAAAGAAGCTTATTATACTTTAGTGAAATTCAATAAAAGTTTTACTTGAACTACAGAAAAAGACAAATATTCAATACTCATTATATTCAGTTAAAAGAAAAAAAAAGGAAAAAAAAACTGAAAATTAATATTAGAAAAATATAGCATAATCACTAAGAAACCTATCGCTAGAAAAAAAGCAACGATGCATTTTAAACTAATTATTATAATTGTTTATAACAATTTATAATTGTATAATAATTAGAGACTAGCATTTTAGTCACCAAATATTTGCAAATAACATCAAATATAATGACACAAAAGTGGCTTGACAAAACCAAATTCATGTGCACATGAAATTTGTATTAAATCTTTGCCTTTACAATGTTATACAAAATATTCTAAGAAAAATATATACTTATTCTCTTCTTTTCATGGTTATGTTAAATTACATTGATTTATAGACTCCTCACAAGATGGGAGCTTTTATTAATAGTAACAAAATAAATGATAATGTATGCGTATTAATGTATGTATGAAAATAACTTATAATCTGTAGTAATATTGCGCTTAACATGTGTAACAAGTCTATTCTTTTACATCACTGACACCATCCGAGTATATAGCAAATGTTGCTTCGTTCTCTGGCAGACAAGGAGAATCATATATCTTACATATTCTAGTTTCTCCTCTGCCTTTACGCAAATACAATCTTGTCGTACTTGAATGTGCCAATATGTGGCCGCCAATTGGTTTCTTCTGGTCACCGCCAAACATACTAGCAGCACCATCAACTTGAGCAACCACTTGGTTTGTTATAACAACAGCAATCCCGTGCTCATCTGCTATTCGCAGTAACATCCTGAGGAAGCGCGCCAGATGCTGTTGTCTTTCGCTTAACTCACCTCTGCCACAGTAATCGGTTCTGTACAGACTGGTTGCACTATCGATGATCAACAAGGCATATCTAGCCTCAGTCATCATGGCACTGGCTTGTACCACTAACTGAGTCTGATGATCGGTGTTGAATGCTCTAGCACAGGCGACATTGTCAAGAACCGAGTCTCCACTGATCTTGTATCTTTCAGCCACAGCTGTTAATCTCTCTGGTCTAAAACCATTCTCTGTGTCTATATACAAACATCTTCCTTCAGCTCCACCCATGCTGATTGGTAATTGACAATTGACAGCTAGGGTGTGACATAATTGAGACTTTCCTGATCTGAATTCTCCAAAAAGCTCAGTAATGGACCCTGTCTCTATCCCTCCCCCTAACAAATTATCCAATTCTTTTGATCCTGTAGTGATATAAACGATATTAGCACGTATCTGATGTATCTCTGTAGCACTCCTGAAACCCATGTTGACCAGCTTCGAGGCTTCCTGCAGTAATTTATCTGCCTTGGCCTCACTGATGCCTTTAATTGTTACGAGATGTTTTTTAGGTGCATAAGCCACTGATTCCACAGTGTAGAAGCCAGCTTCCTGCAGCTTTTTGATGTCTCCCGCAGTGATACCATTTCTCTGTGTAATAACAAACGGTGGGAGAAGCAGGAATCAAACATGACGGTCATGTTCATGCATGCAACAACACAAAAATATCATATATGCGTGATATCACAGCATTAAATCTATTCTATTGGACTCACCTCCAAAGTTTTGACCAATTTCGCCGAAGTACAAATATCTAAATCGTCATCCACATTCAAACTCGCTGTTGTCGCGGTTGCTTCCATCCTGGACAACAAAATCACGTGTCGTTCGATTACTTTAGGGTTAAAATGTTTATGCTTTAAACTCGAACAAACTTTTGCGCCAAAACATCACGTGCCACTGCGGCACATGCACGTTACTTCCGATATATTTGAGAAAGTGTGCACTAGCACCAACTAGGTAAAATAAACCGACGAGGTAAAATAAAGATTACCCTATGTAAATTTTCGTATCAGCCAAGGAGACTCCAAAGGGCCCGAAGGTAATTGAAAAGCGATAATAATACCGACTGCTTTAGCTACACTACCGACGAGGTAATACCACCGATGAGATACTATAAAAGGTCTGTTTTTTATCGCTGAACTCTCAGTGTACACTCAGGGAACATAAAAAGAAATAGATATACATCTAGGTGTTAGTGAAAGGGAGAGAAGAAAAGAATAAGTGCAAGTTAGTGCAGCTAGTTCAGTAATAGAAAACAAACCCATAGACTGTTGGTCTTACGAAATTTAGCGTACCAGAGAAATCTCGCTGTGCATTAGTGCCCTCTTAGGAATCGTGGCCGGAATATAAAACATAACTCGAAATAAGCATGGATGGTAACAGATATGGACAGGACGAAGCGACGAAAACGATGAAGACAAAGACGAAGACGACGACGACGACGAGGACGAAGACGACGAAGAACGACGACACGATGACGACGACGAAGAACGATGACGACGACGACGATGAAGAACGACGACGACGATGACGAAGAACGAATTTATAGCGGCTAAATTATAGGTTACGTTCTTTCGTGTGCCATATATAATTTTTAAACTTATTTACATTATATGCATGTCTTATACCTGTATTCAAAGTCAGGTCTTATATTTGAGGCCTTCTTATATCCATCTTTAGATGCTGCACGGATTATTTTATCAGCTACAGGCCATCTGAAGATAAACTTAAGGAAGCCGTAAATATAAGGCCTGACTATGAATACGGGTGTTAGAAGAATAATTCATCACATTATATAATTTATTACAATTATAAATATACAATATAATACAATATAAATGACGAGACGTGGAGAGAGAGGTTGATTATCCATCTTTATTTAATCATCTGATCCATTCCAAACATAGCACGGAACAGAACTAGAAAATTGTGGTCAGTCCTACTTATCCACTGAGAAAAATAACGGACGTAGTTTTTGTCCAGAAAATGGACATGGAGGCGCTTGAAAATAGTGTTACAGGAAAATTACCGTCACGGTCTCTCTCAGGCTTCTCTCTAATGTAAGGTATCTCGGATAATGAATTGTCCCCATATCGCGCATGACTGTCACAGGGGATGACGATGGCAATAGCATTCCGCAAGCACCAGCAGTCCCTTTTGTCTAGTCTATCTCCGGCAGCGATCTTGTTCGACCTGGACAACACCCTCGTGGAGACCAGGAAGGCCGACAATCAGACCTGTCGCAAGGTATGCGAAGCAGACACTATTTTCCGCCCATGTCCTAACCCTCGATCCGATCGCCGCGACTTTCTCCCGTAGGAGGGAGGAGGAGTCGCCGTCGAGAGGTCACGCGTGCGTGCGTGTATGCGTGCGTCTGCACGTACGTGCATACGCCTCGCTCCTCGCACGACCGTTGTACTCTTCCACGACGCTCACTTACCCCGCATTCTCGCAAGAATAGAATTCGTCGTTTTTCCTGTCACTCCCCCCTCCCGTCCCGCGCGCGCCGTGTGTAATACGAGCCGACTCCCCGATATAGCGCGCTTTCTCTACGACGCGGCGGTTATTTTCGTCGCCGCGTCTCGCACCTTCTGCGGATTCTCTCTCTCCCGGGGAGAGCCCCTCCGTCGTTTTGCGCTTCCTCGGGTACGACCCTACGTTTGTTTTAGTTGCACCTTCTGCATCGTTTCCGCCGCTTCTTTCTCGCTCGCACTCTCTCTCTCACTCTCTCTCTCTCTCTCACTCTCTCTCTCTCTCTCTCTCTCTCTCTCTTGCAAAGTGCAATTATATGTCTATCTATTCCGCTGCGAAGTGCAGAAAGTACAGCTAAAGCAAACGAGTCCAATCTGCACCCCACTTCAGCATTGACCGCGCTGCGAAGTTCGCGCGAAGGTTACGTCATTCGAGTTAATCGAGAGACAAGCGCAAAGATAAGCGGGAGGACACTTCCGTCAGCGTCGCGTGCGAGCTCACCAATGCGCCGCTTAATTGTAAGTTGCAACCAGCAAAGCGAAGATCGTCGAAGCCGAAGACGCACGTCGTCATGACGCATCGTTCGCGCATCGTCCCCGGCACGCGAGCGAGATACTTTTGAGGTTACCGCCGCTCACGAGTGGAATTTTTCCGGCGCGAGCCTTCAGAAAGGCTTCCCGCTGACGAAGCGAGCACGAAGAGCCGCGGCAAAGCGCACACGTGGCACATCAGCGACGTGGCGCGCCGACGATCGACGGCTATTTTCGGCCGCCTCGGTGAGTGTGTCAAAGGGCAAGGCTAGAGGATAGCGGCGAGAGGACCGTTCCGGGAAGACTGCCAGTCAGCTCGCGACTATGCCACGCGACGGACACCGCGACACCCGGTGACGCCTGTCCAGAGCACGGAAGTCTGTCTGCCCCCTCGCCCGACGTCGATGACATTACTCGGCACAGTGGTATAAAAAACACGTCAGGTTTTAAGCATCTCAGCCAGTCTCGCAGGCGACTCTCTCTCTTCTGTTATTTCTCTCTCTTGCTCCCTACGACCTGCATCACCATGAGCGTCCCCGAGAGTGTCACAAAGTGCGTGTCCATCCTGAAAGCAGTGGACTCAGATTCGGAGAAGTTCGCGGCACTCTTCATGGTCACGAAGCTCGTGGACGGCAAGGACTGCAGTCCGGCCGCCAAGAAGATGCTCTTCGAGGCCATCGGCGCCAAGTTCTTGCAAAGGTTGCTCGCCAGCGACAGCGTGCCGGTGGACTGCCCGCCGCAGGTGTACAAATCGGTGGCGTTGTCCATCTTAACCGCCTTCTGCGGGGAGGCCGAGCTGGCTTCTCACCCGGACATGGTGGCACACATCCCGGCGCTGCTGGATATAGTGTCTCAGGCCGACGAGGACGCCGCGGACGACATGCTGATTATTGTGAGTGAGGCGTACACCTGCCTGCAGAGCATCGCGCAGCACCCACCTGGGCAGAAGGCGCTGCTCGAACAGCAGGCGATCCCGAAGATGTGCGACATCTACGCGGAGAAGAGCTTCCAGACGGACGAGGCGCTTAACATCCTGGTGACGTTGGTCGGCCGGTTCGGCCCGGAAGCTTGGCATCCGACCGACAGCACGCCCTTCCACGCGATCATCCACAAGGTCGCCTTGGACTTTGAAACCGACCACACGGAGAGGAAGTTCCAGCTATGCGCGATCCTGCAGGCCCTGCTGCAGTCCAGCAGGAAGGACGTGGTCTCCGCGTCCGCGAAGGAGGAGTCTTGGCCGTTGAGCATCCACAAGGGCTTGAGCGACATCTTGGGCTCGAAGATCAGCAAGAACCAACGGGACCCTGCTCTGAAGCTCGCGGCCGTGATGATGGATCTCTTGGGAGCAGAGTGGAGTATGTGCGACAAAGAGAAACCCAAGATACTCTTGCTGTTGTTGATACAGCTGGCGTCCATCGAAGTGCGGATGCAGCTGGAAGGGAAACAGCTGAAAGCTGTGCTCGCCAATGCCGAGTTGGTCACTGCCTGCTTCGTCATCCTCGAAGTCTCTCTGGGCTATATCGTCGCGGATCAGCTGGACTTGGACCAGAAGGAGAAGCAGTCGCTATACACAGCCCTGAAGGGCTCCTTTGCAGCGGTCATCGGTTTGCTCAATGCCGTGTCGAAGATGAAGACGTTGACGAATATGGAGGAGAAAATGTTCGTCGTCGCTGTCGTCAGGGTGCTGACAGCTTGGCTCGCTCAGGAAACCACCGCGATGCGTCCTCAGGTTTACGCCGTACTGCCGTACGTATTGACGGTGGCAAACGATACCTTCTACGCGCATCGCAACAGAAAACTAGCCGAGAAAGCCAAGGCTGGCAAGACGGACGAAGGGACGTCTTCTGGAGAACCGGTCGTTCACGACCCGATGAGCGAGAACGACATACTGAGACTACTGTTACCCGCTTTGTGCTACTTGGCCGTGGAAGAAGACGCCCGGAAGATTCTCCTTAAGCACAAGCAAGACGAAGTCCTGTTCGAGTGCCTGTCCTATCATTGGACCATCGTGCACTACAAGAAGCCGCCGGTGCCAAGGGCAGAGCGTCTGAAAGCTCTGCAGGATGGCAATCGTACGGAGGACTTGGACTCGAGTCTCTTGGAGGACATGAAGGACTCCAGAACCGCGATGGTGTCCATCTGCAACGTCCTGATGAACATTACCGTGTTGGAGGCGAAACTGGTGGAGGAGTCGCCGACGTTCATCTCGCTGTTGAAGTTCATCTTCAACAATCTACCGGAGCTGAAGCAAATCCCGGAGAACTTGGTGCTGCACGGCCACTTGGCCGTCTTGGGCTTGCTGTTGCTGAAGCAGCAGGCTAAGCGCGTGAAGAAGAACGACTTCTCGATATGCCGTTACATTCAGGCGACCATAAGGTTCCTGTGGGACGCATACATCATCGACGAGGGCAACGACCCTACCGAGCTGGTGGTCGCCATATCGTACAAAGAGCACTGGTTGGAGCTGATGGAACTGTGGTTCCTGGGCATGCAGACGATGGCCGGGGTGTTGCAAGTGATACCTTGGCTGTCGCAGTTCACGCTGGAGTCCGGCTGGGCGGAGGAGATAATTGAGACCCTGAAGAAAGTCAAGATAGGCGGCCTGCAGCCGAACGTCAAGTCCGCCTTCGAGGATCTGCTGTGCCACTTGGTGAAGGCCGACAACAGCGTCGGCTCGGTGCTGAAGAAGTGCGGCGCGTTGACCGTCTGCCGGAACCATCGCATGATGGAGCTCGGGAAGCATCTCTTCGGAGACTAGGACGAACACTGATCTACGTTGCTCTATGTAGCTCTCTTGGTTTTTCTCTTGGCTAGTTTTTAAGCGCGAACCCGCGCGTGTTGGTTGCTCTGTTGTAATTATATCGTCCACTTGTATCGCGGGCGAACTTGATGTAAAAAATGTACGATGTAGAGATGCGAGATCAGGCTGAGGATCAGTCGAGTGATCGATTTGATCGATCGATCAGCCGACCGATCGGCACGAATTGTACTTTTCTACAAAAGAATAGCTTTGTAAGTAGCTTCCGTAGGATTCTGCGACGCGAATTATTATTGCACACGTCTCCCGCTTAGGGGATATTTGAAGTACACATGTGTCCGTAGTCCAGGATATATTTAGACGGCATCACGTCTGGAAATAATCTCCTGGCAAGCAAGAAGGCTAAGAGGCTTCACGCTCGGAGGAATATTTCGTAAATCGTGTACATCCGGAGATACATCAGCCTTTTTTTTTAACATGAGATTTTTCGATACACAAATACACTCGCTTTTGTCAGTTGCAATCAAACGCTTCTTGTATTCCCCTGCACCGCGGAAAGGAAGATCGTTACGTTAGTTTTAATCTGTGATCTTGAGATGCTTACCATTGAAATACGCATACACACACACACACACACACACACAAAACACACTCTGAGACGTCTAGCGACAAATTGTTTATGCGACGAAGATTTTGTAATGCGATGCCAAAGTGCTTTCCTATTAAACGGAAGGAATTTTCTAAGTATTCACTTGATTTCTCGCATCGTCCACTCTGTCACTGATATACCTAATGCTCTTCATACAGTTTTAATTCTGTAACAGAGACAGATCAAAGAGAGATTACCGGATAAGCAGATGCAACTAATACCACGACGCGACTAATTAGACTTTAGCGGCTGCTTAAGTTAGACCGTACAGGAGGCCACACGTTACTCCGGTTTCCAGATATCTTTCCACGGCCACAACTTATAGGGTTTTGGTATAACATGTGTTGTTGTTGTAGTTGTTGGCACAACTGATTTTGTTGTGATTACAGCAACGTCCGCGGGTGCCACTTCGAGTGTCCACTAATCGGCTCGAGTATTTCAATGAATCAATGCATTTTCTAGGTAATCATTAATAATGAATTAAGTGCCCTAAACTCTCCTAACTGACCGCTGTATCCTCTCGTCCCGAGATCTTGGTTGATCAATGAAAACTCCACATTCAATATTCGTCTTTATCATATATTCGCATCGTGTGTCTCGTCAGTCTTGGAAAATCGCTTCGTCAAGACATTTTATTCTCGTCTCTCTCTCTCTCTCTCCCATTTTTTTATACTTTTTTTCACGACGAAGAACATGTATCAACTTTGCGACAAGATAGAGTGAGAGACGACATGTACGTGCACCGTCGCGATCATGCGTATTGAATGTGGAAGAAATCACTGTCATCCACATTCAGTTTCTACCTTCTTCATTTTCAGTTCTTCGCTCATCATTCTCTAACGTCACGAAATTCGTCTATAATTCGTATAACGAAGGCGAAAGCTTTTATTGCACACATTTACCTACAGTTGGCGGAGGAATTGACGCAAGAATACGGAATCCCCGAAGATGTCTCCGCCAAGGTAACGGCCGTGTTTCTCAAGCAATTCAGAAAATGCCCGGACAACGCGACCTGCACGTTAGACGCTTGGCGCACCATTTTGTGGAGCAAGGCCCTCGGCGACAAGTACTCGCGCTTTGCGAGGAAGGTTTACGAACGATGGCTGTATTTAAGATATCATTATATGGTACTGACACCGGCCACCGTGTCGATGCTGCGGCAGCTGAGGAAGAAGTATCTGCTGGGGCTGATCACCAACGGCCCGTCGAATGCACAGTGGGAGAAGGTGCGCAAGCTGTCGCTGGAGCAGTACTTCGATATCATCCTGGTATCGGGTGATCTCCCGTGGGAGAAACCGGACGTTGAGATATTCCAGAAGGCCTGCGACTTGCTCAACGTCAGACCCAAGGAGTGCATCATGGTCGGCGACAAGCTGGAGACCGATATTCTAGGTATCGATATGCGCTTCGGCTTACATGCGTTCGCTACCAGGGTCACTCGTATCGTTTCTCATGAGAGATCTATGTGTCCCGGATAGCACAGGACGTCCTAAGGTCGTCCTGGATAGGCTCAAGACAACCTTGAATGACATCCTGAGGACATCCAGAACACATTTTGGGGAATCTTGTGCTATCTGAGGCGCGACAACGAGCACATTTTTCTCTCTCCATATTCACGTGAACAAACAAGATCCACTTCACAGCTTTGTGAAGTGTTACAGCTTTTGAGCATCTGGCTGCATACAACTACACTCCTGAAATCACCAACTAACGGTGACATTACATGAATGTTATGACTCGTTTCTTTGCAATTAATTTGCGACATTGACGTAACATATTAATTGGTTGCTTACCGAGTAACTACATGAAGAACATACATATAGGGTGAGTTGTGGAGAGGAGGTGAATCGCGATAGCGAACGCATTACCGTTATCCCGTGTTTCTGTTTTTGCTTGTAGAAAGGTATGCGTCTTCAATGGTACATGGTGTGCGCCGCAATAAATGTCGACATTACATTGTATAGGTGGTATCGAGGCTGGACTCTGCGGGACCGTGTGGATACCCACCGCAGACAAGCCTCGTCTCTTGGGAGGAGACCCCAAGCCAAACTTTACAATAAGACACGTGACGGAACTCATGCGCATATTAGACAGAGGTCCCAAGGCGCCGGAGCTCGAAGACTGCTCTTCAAACGCGTCCGATGGCAGCTAATGGGCAGTCGTTGAAGCGTATCAAGCCAATTTTCTCTCACACCGTAAGACTCGACGCTCACGAGCAAAAATGTATGCCTTTCCGATTCTGGTTGCATTACATTTCTCTCGCGAACGTGCAATGAATGTACGTTTTGTTTGTTACCTATTTTACAGTAACATTCAGGCATAGGCACTTCGACATCTATTATTTTTCTTTCTTCTATATTACTGTTTTCTTCTTGTTTTGACCCTTTTGAAGTTTATCACGCGGAATAGCTCCGTAGGTTTTCGCAAATTTCTCAGCGGAGAATGAAGCGTGTAATTACAACGTACTCATGTTGAGTTGCGAAGCAGTAGTCCTATTCGTATGACGCAAAGGAATGCAAAGTATAACGCAACTGAAATACAAATTTATTTTTGATTGTGTGCACGCGCGTGTATGTGAGTGCGTGCGTGTGCGTGTGTGTGTGTGTGTAAACGTTTTTTCTTATAGGTAGCTGTATACGCATAGTTATCATAGTTAATTTCCGATAGCCGATATATCCGCAATGAGATATTACTCTTTAGTTACCTTCTTGAAGCTAAACTAAACGTACCTCAATGTATATCGGGTGAAGAAGACGGAACACATGTACAAAACCACGTGCACAAGCAGAGCCAGTAGACGTAGCGTAAACGAACAAAGTAGACTCTAATAAGGAGACACCACATACAGCTGTTTTATCCGCTTTGTGTAACTTAAAGACGCGCTGTAACATACGTACGAAAGGATAATACGCTCGCACGGTGACGTATCCGTATTGTGAACCTCCTGTTGTACAAACACGTGACACTTTGTATACCGGTACCTGTACTTAGGTATGTACAGAATGTTGTATATGCGCGAGACATGAATGTGTACATGACGTCTATTTTTTCACCGTATGTATATTCCGTCTGCCAGGGGAGGAATGTGGGAGAATTCAGTGTATATGTATGGAAATTCTATGAACGCGACGAGTCCTACAAATGTCTCACCAGTACGTGTGCGTATTGTGAAGTGAAGCAAGTGAAATCAGGGTGTAATAAAAATCTATATGAACGAGATCACCGGAATGCGCGCGTCTCATGTTCTCTCCGCTTCTGTTTCTTTCTTTTCTTGTCATTGTCTACTTCAGCACGCTGCCGGACCACAGACGGCACCCGGCGTTTATTCCACGCTAGCACAATACGTTGCGGACGAATGCGAGGACTCGATACGTACAACGGCTAAACCGTAGCTATAATGGGAGAGTGGGTATTTTTTAACAACAAGTATGGCAACAGAAAATATTCGAGGCTGTCGGAAAATGCTTAATCTGGTTTCCGGCTGGTGCCGCTTCGCATAAGCGCTTCAAGTCATTCCTCTCCTTGAAGAGATGAACTGAAAACATTTACGGAACGTCGGAAACAAGTCCAACTTGGAATCCAAATCGAACGTATCCGCGTTATCTTTCGTTTCGGCTTACGATCTGATCTTGAGACCGTCTGACACTGTCTGGGACTCGCTGTTTTCCGTTTCTATAGTCTCGTCTTGCGTGGACACGAGGTTCGATGTTGAAGAGGCGGCTTCCTGTTTCCCCGAGGGACTGGCCGAATCATCATCCTTCGCAGAATTCGCGCTAGAACTCTCAGCCGTTTCGCCCGTGGGAGAGGTCTGTCTGTCGTCGTTTGGTGACCCCTCTGACTTCTCAAACTGCGAGTCCGAGGAATACGAAGCTTCCGCTTCCGATTGAACCTAGACAAAAAGAAGACTTTCGTTGCCTATGAAGATTCTACCTGAGCGTCGGGCTCTCTCTGACAACCAACTCTCTTTACCGTTTCTACCGTCTCCTCTTGCGTGGCTACGAGATCCGACGCGGAAGGGCCAGCTTCTTGTTCCACCGTGCCAACGACCGGACCATTTTCGACAGAGTAGCAAATGCTCTCGGCCATCGGGACTGCGTGCGAGGTCTGCCTGTCGCCGTCTCGCGACTCGTAGCTCGCCGGTTGCGAGACCGAGAGGTGCGAAACTTCCGCTTCTACTTGGATCTAAGTAGAGGCCAAACCGCACATTACTTTCCGCAGCGACGAGACTTGATCGTCGGGTTGTCTCACCGTTTCGTCGAGGATCGTGTCCTTACTCTTGTAAAACAGACTCTTGCAGACGTATTGCGCCTGCTTGGGATCTATGCCCGCTTCCATCAGCGATATCAGCACGTCTCGCTCCGTGACAAGCAGCTCAGGATTCGCGTCGACCAGAACCACAGTTTTCCCAGCGGCGTTGCTCGGCTGCCTGTCCTGAGCGTCCATCGCTTGCTGATAAGCCTGCAGCTTCTCCATCACTTTGTTATCGTTCAGCACCTTCGGCGGCGTGGGCGGTCGAATCTCGGAGATGTGCAGCAGCTTTTGCGCGTGGATCAGGTCCTCCAGCTCTTCGTCCATGTCCGATTCCTCGTCCGGGATGTTCAAAGAGCTCTTCAGCTGGTAGATCTCATATAACATTCTATTCTGAAACAAAGGCAAGCAGTAAATTTTAAATTACTGGGAACGTTCCTTCTCTCGATCTGTTCAAGGCACTATTGTTATTCATACCATACTCAAAATTCCCTTATTTTTATCGAGGTGCTTCTTGAACACATCCTGCAGCTCCTTATCGGTATAGAGGCCACCCTGCATGATCTCTCTGGTGATGTCGTAGACGAAATTGATGTACTTCTTCTCGTCCTCTCTCTGACAAGCAAGTCGCTCGACGACTTTGTCGTCGTGATGAGAATCATCGTGGCTTCGCGAGGTCCTCGACGACACCGAGCGACGGTCGATCACTTCTCGCGTCGGAGAATGACACGTCGTTTTGACTCTTGTCGGGTCTAAAGTAGCAGTCGTGCAAGGAACGAAGACCGTATCCGTCTCGTCTTTAAATTTTCTTTCTCTACGAGGACGAAGAAAAGAGAAACTAAAAATAATTACACATTATCAAGGATAATCAAAAAGAAACGTACGTTGAGATAAAAATAGATACACGATTAATACGACTTAAATAGCAATACAAGTTCGACGCAGTCTCACCTCCGTTGCGGAAAATTTGCGGATGAGTCAGCCGCGTAAAGACTCTTCCGTGCGGTTTTGCATTCCTTTTCGTAAATTGCATTAGATATGAATTTTTTACGTTTCGACGCTGCAGTGGGCGACGCCGATCGTTGGCTCCTCGACGTTAATCGTTGTCGACGAAACACTTGACTGTTTGCTTTGCAACACGGTCGACCGCAGTTTCTCGACTGACGATGGTCCACATCACGAGAGAAACAACCCAGACATTCCCCATTCGACTTCATTCTTAATATGTCCTACATTGGCAAGTTGAAGAGAAATAGTGTGAGCTTAAAATTATCACTGTTTCCATCTGTTACTTGCAATAGATAGACACATTAGAATATGATTTTCAAAGTAATCACGCGGAATTGTAGATTACACTTGTAATTTGTTGTTGTTTTTTTTTCATCATTTGGAATGCGCCACTTGCAGTGAGCTTTACCATTGGATGATGCCGAGTATCGTAAGCTAGTCTGTCGATTATGTCGTCCGTCATTTCCGGGAGTGAGTAAATTCTTCTTTCGGCGGCTGGCTTACTTCTTTTGCTCCTTCTGCACATGTAACTCTTGTTCCTCGTGTCGATCACGCTCTTCGCCAGTAAAATCCGTCGCAGATGTTGGCTCATCGAGTTGTACGCTGCCAGTTGCTCGAAATAATTCTGTCCCGTTGGATTATACGCTGTGGCGACATGCAGTATTAGATTAGACATCCGTATATCGATCATCGACGTAATGAATACACTCACCGCTGCTCTTTAAATTAACTTCATGCATCTTGTCATTTCTGTTAATTCGAATAACTTTACTCGTGACGTATAACTTTACGAAACTTATAACGGATGATTATTAAGCGGTTTGTTTCCTCGAAAGAATTTGGCCGGTATGATAGTCGAGTGATGTCAAAAACTTGTCATTTTTCCTTATAGCTGTGCCATGTTTGCCCTCGGAGCTTTGTTGACGTTCTGCCGCTAAGCAACGGGCACGTGCTAAATTCCCGCCATTTGCACTCTATATCCTCGTTAAATATGTAGGAACTAGAGATGCGGTGATACAATTAATAGATTCCGATAAAACGTAACGTGACAATTATATTTTAACATGAAATGAGGAATAGATTACATTTGGCATTAAGTGTGCAGTTAGCGACGAGATGTAACTCTCACGTATATACTTACATACAAATGGAACGTCATGGAACGTCAATATCGTTATCAAAATATTAACTGCACCTTATTTGGTAAATGTTAAGAAACTTGGTCTAACTTAAATGCATATAAACATCTTCCTCCGCAACAGTCAATCGATATAAAAATATATTTTTCACATCTTACTATAAATCTGCATTAAGAAAACTTGTATATATAAACGTAAAACGACATGAATAACTCGCTGAGCGTTCTTCAATCTTCTCTAGTGGGTGTCCTTATGTGTGACGCGTTATTCTTTGGATAAATATACACTTGTGCCAAAATAGCAATATCAATTGCGACTTGAACAGCACCACATACTTGAAATTGCACCGGAGTATCCTTCAAGATAAAGTAGCAGGTCTTGAAAACATCCCCTAGCGTCCACATAGCTACCATAGTCACACTAAAAATGAAGTGGAATATCAATTGAATTCAGACATGCATACAAATCTTTTAATTATTTTCCTATTGTCCAAAATGTGTTTTACCTCATCCCTGCAGTGGATTTGTTGGAAGAGTTCCTTAGAAATTGAGGAACACCAAGCATAGCTTCTATCAACACCGCTAATAATCCAACAACTTCAATAAATATTGGTATATCCACAAATAAATACATTAATATACCACTTACAGTGGCAAATAGAATCATAAAAGCCAAGTAGGATTGAAAGTTTGTCCACTTCCAAAAAAATCTAACATCCAAATCTGTGGAAAAGATATTATTTTTATAAATCTATATAGCTAATATTATATATGTATAATGTATATAGCCTCTTCAATACTATGTTAATAAAATTGACCTTACCTGTAAACACATGCTCCTTTGGTTTAATTATCTGTGATCTGTTTTGTATATTGATACAAAGTTTAATCATAACAAACATTGCAAAAATCATGAGTACACTTTGCAACAAGAGGGGAAGTTCATAATGTTTGCCGAACCTGTGACAAATGTAAGTATATGAGTATCTTATTCTCTTACCATATATATGTAATTATAAATATATAATTTAAAATCTAGAGAGACAAAATACTTGGAGCAAAATATAACAATATAACTTAACATAAAACAAGTACAAACCAAAATAGTATACGGAGCGTGTTGGCGATTAAAAGAGTGAGACAAACATAAAGGGAGAATCCTTCCGCATCTTCTTTCCTCTTGATTTCCTTATATTGCGGTACATATGGTATAATTCCGCCGATAATCATCGCACCCGATGCGATCCAGCTGATTACGTTTTTCAATGTCAGCTCATACCTGTCCATCGCGACAGGCATCTACTTGAAGCATACCGTGTCTCGTATAACAATGCGCTAACACATCATATCACAAAAATTGCATGTGCAAATATTATAACGGTTTTAGGTTACGTCTGAGCTACTCGCCGTCCCTGTCACGCTGCCCATTTCCGCCAATAATGATAATATAAGCTCATATCTGTCTTTGATTTGTGACGTTAATAGACTCAATATCCTTGTATAATATGTCCAATTATAGCATCGTTTCTAACACCGTGCATTTATCGTCAGCATTTACTTCCGAGATAACACACACAGGCCACCTCCATTCTTTCGCGTGCTTCGGTCTGCGGGGTCCGCGACCTGTCAAAGAATGTGAAGTTTTATGAAGTTCCACAAACGGCCAGTAGAAATACCAAGAATGACTTAAAATCATTCAATTTGCAAATTAATTATGTCAATTATGCACAAGCAGAGAATATTATACGTATGTCAATACATTTATAAAACATGTGGAGAAATAAATTTATAACACACACATATATATATATATATTACTTTGATTTAAAAGAACCGCGGTATATCTCTCGTCGGTATGTAAGCAACAATCGGTAAATCAGTATTCTCTAATGACCTTTGGAGTGACTCGGAATCGCACGGTAGAAAAATGCAAATTGCCGCGTCGCTGGTCTCCCTACTTATTTTTAAACAAAAAAAGTACTGACAGTTCGCAATAGTAGAAAACACGATGCGTAGAAGAGATGGACTTTCGCGTCCACGTCGCTGTTAGTCGTCGTCGACCGTATCGCAAAAAATATGTAATGTATGGCAGTATTCTAATGATAACGATTTGCAAGACAATCATTCGATAAGCTGATAACGTACACGCACACATACACGCGCGCGCGCGCGCCTCGTTTTATCGCTTAATTGACACACAAGTGTAATGAACACGCTCCAGACCCTGATCGAGCAATTTTATCTCGTCAACGGAACGACCTGGGTGACTCGGAGTGTCAGTCGCGGTTAAACGAATTAATTCGTTTGCGCCTCTCGCCACAACTGGACGACTTCTTGACAGTCGCGAGTAATCAAGTATGTTCATTGAATTACGCGCGACGTCCAATTATCTCGAGAGCGGCCGATTGTACCGCGCTAATTAGTCGCAACTGCAAGCAACTCGTCGCCACTTTACGAATAAAGCGGCAGCAGCAGGATAAACCTAGTGATACCTACCGATTACGATGATCCATATTGTTAGCAACTAAAGTACAGCAAGCTGGAGTATTTAATGTTGAAGGTAATCTCTGTGTGTGTTCTCTTGTGTCACTTGAATAGATACAGGCATATTAAAACTGTAGCAACTTTTTGTAACATTCCATTCTATTGTGTATAGATGCACTGGTTAGCTATGATAATGTGCCTGTATGCTGGACTAGCTAGTGCACGCACAGAAGAAGACCAGCAGGCATCAAATATAGATGGAATTCCCAACTCTCCTCCAGCACAATGTTTCTACAGACCAGCAACGGACTGTCCAAACATGGGTGCGGATTCAAACAAGTGTCCTTGCAAGAAGATCACACTTGCCAATGTACCTGAACCCTATGCTGCGCTCTGTTGTAACATAAATAGTCAGAGTTTAGACTATGGTCTTTCTTGCATGGGTGAGTATTGTTGTCACTAGAGCTTCTTGCAAACAGCATAAATCTGCATCACAAATTGTTACAGTCAGATGCTATTGTTACAATCTGTATTAAATTATTTCAGGCTTTCCTTGGCTGAACATAAGCTATGTTCATATACGTAATGCAACCTTGGATACATTTAAAACAAGCGAGGTTCGATGGAGGAAACTGAAATCATTGGCTGTGACTGATGGCAGGATTAGTCGAGTGAAAGGGCAGTTCCTCATGAAGACACCCATAGTGTGCTTGAATCTCTCGAACAATGCACTGGTCGAGGTAGAGAATAACTCGTTGACGCGACTAGAGCAGCTTGCCACTTTGGATCTGTCTTATAACAATCTCACTCACCTTCCAGCTTTGAACACGAACGGCCGAGAATTCTGGTTAGACATCTCAGGTAACAGAGCCGTCGCGTTATCTTCGTTAAACTTATGTGCATAAAGCACCTGTCACAACACACATCAAGTATATGTACTTTGCCAAACATATCACACAGATACATGTTTATGTCACTAATCTCATGTCTCTTTCCACAGGGACAAACACGCTTTGGTGCCATGACATATACCAATATATCAACAGAACGGGCGAAATGCAAATCACCTTTAATCGCGAGAATGAGACTGTATGCTCTGCTAGCAAAACATGGCATTGGTTTAACACTACGGAGCAAGTGCCGCTTAAACAAGTCCGTTATCTCAGCTCGGTACGTAGCAACGATGTTACATGACGTTTCTCACATTTTAGGCGAGATAATCAGGATTAGTTTCTCGGCCTTTAGTTGCAAACCGAATGTCCGAAAGGCGATACTTGGCATTGTCAGTGTAATGTTAGCAGGCTGGACATTGTTGAGGGCAAGCCGCCTACCTTCGCCGTGTACGTAGATTGCAGCGGCATTCAACTAACGGAACTGCCAGAGAAGTTGCCGCGCAACACCATAACGCTCAATGTTTCCTATAATAACGTATGTTCGATGAAGTTCTATGCCGTGTACCGTCCCATATCATGTCAACAAAGCTTACCACTGCTTCATGAATAACCATACCATATTCCTCTTCAGATCACCGTCTTGGATGATCTGAGCACCAATCCGTGTTACGAACATCTACGTGAGTTCTACGCGGATTACAATAATATCACCTCGATAAACAAGCTAGAAGGCTCCAAGTTTCTCGACAATTATGCTCTCCTGAGTCTACGGTACAATAAAATCAAATCAGTAAGTAGAAGAATATGCATGAGACTCGTCGACGATGAGCAACAGCATTCTATGCTAATTACGATGCAATATGTTTCAGCTGCCAACGTATATCCTAAGTCCAAACGTATACAATAAGAACTTCGCGACTCTGAGCTCGCGGTTAGTCAAATTTGGCGGTAACGAATTACACTGCGACTGCAACACCGCTAAATTTCTAAAGGTAAATTGTGCTAGTTTCATGAAAGAGGGAGAAAAAATTTGATAAGACGCGATTGCGTGAGAGAACCTGTCTCGTCTCTTTCTCACAGGCATGGTTGCAGACGCGGATATTGGACGCCGACGAGGTGATGTGCGAGAATGTGAAGGAGAAAGTTGTAGATCTAGACGCGTCGAAGATGTGCGTGTATCCGGGAGACTGGACTGACTATATATATTATATTATCGGCATCGAGGTAATGATTCTCATCGGCTTGATAGTCAAGGTATCGTACGACTATTGGGTGTTGAAGACTGCAGGATATCTTCCGTGGCCGGCGAATAGAATGCCGAAATTACCTTGCGATTGGCTGTGCGAAAGATTCACAAAGTAATCTCTGTATGTGCAAGCCCATGACAGGCGTTTGATAAGAATTTATATCGTTTAAAACGTGTGCAATCGTTAAGAGAAAAAGATGTCAGGATATATATAAAAATTGCGTGTTGCGTTTATATCTAACCCAGTTCTGGGAATCTAATATAATCTGCGCGTATTTCTATCTCGACAGCGTGAATTTCATCGCTGGGCATCTCCCGATCGAGATCCGTCAGCCGAAACGAGTGCTTTAATATAATCGCGCAACTTGTGTGCAATACGAAGTATATTACAATATTTTTGCAAGAGGACAGTTTCATATTAAAGGAGAGTAAAGCGTTCTATGTAAAAGACTTAAGGAAATCATATATACGTAATATTACATATAAACTGTTCCCCTCTCCCCCAATAATATTTGTAAATGTAATTGTACTTTTGTGTATGTTTTTCTGCAATATCTTTTTTATATATGATCGTTTATATATTGCCCAAGTTTTTCAACCTCTGACAAATTTCCTCTTTGAAATGTTATATCGATCCTTTCGAACATTCGCGACATGTAAAAATAGATAAATTTGCAAAATATTCGAAAAATTAGAAATATGTTTACTTAACTTTACAGGTTGATTTTACTGCCATCTATTGCGATGTTTATTAATTATATTCTGTCTCTGTAAGTAAAACAGATATATAAGTTTTTAAATTATAAAATTTTTTATATTATATCTTGCATGAAATTCATTCAATCATTCAATATCTGATGAAGAATAAGAAGGTGGTTGTACATATTTTGTAATACATTCGATATATTGCAATTAATAAATGAACGAATGATATGTATATATATATATATTTGTTTAACGCATGTTTGTAGATGAAAACCGCAATAATGGAGACGTTTCATACACACGGTCCCATGGTGTAATGGTTAGCACTCTGGACTTTGAATCCAGCGATCCGAGTTCAAATCTCGGTGGGACCTAGCGACGAGTGTTTTTTTTTTATTTTTCTACCAATAAAGTATGTTTCGTCAATCTGATATAAATATATTAAATATATTAATTCACTCGTTACCGAGTGACAAACAAAAGCTGAAAAATACTGCTAGAAGTTGCAATCAAATCTATTCTCTTTAATTGCACTTTTTGTACTTTCTAGCCTTTTTCTTTCCCTGCATCTATTAGGTATATACATATTTTATTTTAAACAAAATTTAACATTTATTTATAGCTACAAGAAATGTAACATAACACAATTAAAGAGAACTGACTCATTATTAACAATAATAAACATAGTGCGTGATTCATACATAACCCATCCTACCCTAGTTCTCACCTAACCTAACCTAAGCTTAGGAGCACACACGATGAAAGCTTCAAATATAAATACAACGTGACGTTTAGGCATATGCTGGGTCGTTCTCGAGGATTAATTTTGCTGTAAGTCTGAAAAAATGACTGAACATTCCGAGTCCGTAGTAGTTATCAAAGCGAAACCTATTCGCAAAGTTTTCAAGGCTCCCGTGAGAGCTAGCAAAATTCCTCAAGAACTGCTGAACGATCCTTTGCTAAACTCTGCCATAGCAGCTTTACCGTCGAATTATAATTTCGAAATACACAAGACAATATGGAGAATCAAGGAGATAAAGGCGAAAAGAGTGGCACTCCAAATGCCAGAAGGTCTTTTGATGTATGCTACAACAATAGCTGACATTATTGAACACTTTACCGAAGCAGACACTGTTATAATGGCTGATGTTACTTATGGTGAGCATAGACAAGTAGTTAAACATTCCAATTACAATTCGATATACTTTCCATACCCATATCCACTTTATATACTTGACAATACTGTTAATATTTACTGTTAATATTATTATCAGGAGCTTGCTGCGTGGATGATTACACAGCACGAGCGTTAGATGCAGATTTTCTGGTTCATTATGGGCACTCCTGTCTCATACCTGTGGATCAGACCGCCGGTATCAAGGTGCTTTATGTATTTGTCAACATAAAAATCGACATCTCGCATTGCGTGGAGTGTCTAAAAGTTACCCTGCCAATCACCACAAAGTTAGCAATGGTCAGTACGATACAATTCGCCACCATGTTACAAGCAGCAGCGTCAGAGCTGAGAAGAGGAGGATATGAAGTCTCAGTGCCACAGAGCAAGCCGCTCAGTCCTGGAGAAGTACAATACATTCTTCTATATGTTTAAGGAACGAGGGTCGCTTTGTGGTAAAATCGTTTCTCCTAAAAGATACTAGGTTGCACAGCGCCGCAGGTCCGCTGCGCCGACGCGGTGGTCTACATAGGTGACGGTCGTTTCCACCTGGAAGCCGCCATGATCGCTAACCCGAAGCTCAGGGCGTTTAAATACGATCCGTACGCGAAGAAGTTAACCGAGGAGTTCTACGATCACGAGAGAATGTTGAACACCAGGCACGAGGCGATACAACGCGCCGCGGAGACCGGCAAATATGGCTTAGTGCTCAGCACTCTCGGTCGACAGGGCAGCCCGACCGTGCTGAAGACCCTGCAGAACAGAATCGAGGCGTTGGGGAAGGAAAATGTCGTGATACTGTTGTCGGAGATCTTCCCGGACAAAATTAAACTCTTCGAAGGCATCGACGCTTTCATACAGGTACAACTTGCATCAGATCGCTAAAAAAGAAGAGAGGAATTGCTTGATCGATTCAGCATCATTTAATATGCAAAATTCTGAGGATCTTTTCTCTCTCTCTCTCTCTCTCTCTCTCTCTCCCTCTCCTCTCTCGATATTATACAAGATATATTTGTATCGATACTGTTCAAGATTGCGTGTCCTCGACTGAGCATCGACTGGGGTGTCGCGTTCGAGAAGCCCTTTCTCACGCCCTACGAAGGAGCGGTCGCCCTCAGGATGGCGAATTTCGACAAGGAGCGGCCATACCCGATGGACTTCTACGCCACGGTCAGCCTCGGCCCTTGGACCGTCAATCACAAGGAGTCCGAGCTGAAGACACCCGATGCGTGTTGCGGCAAATGTAAAACGGACAAATAAAGAAGCCGATTGTCTCTGAAATCTACCCTGCCTCGATGACTACCGTTGACCGTGTCAGACCAAAGTCTCTCCCGCGCGCAATTCCCCCCGGACGGGGCGGTTCGCGAGAAAAATCGCCTTTCGCGAATCTCTCGTCGACGTAACGTTCGGGCTTGAGAAAGTGCATCGAAGCGTTATTCATATTACGACCCCCGTCATCTCCAAGTCGTTGGTGGTAAAACGATAATGGGGAGATAGAAGGGTCCGCGTGGGCGAATTACGTCATACGCCCACCTGTAGCCTGCTCGCAAATCTAGGGGGGTTGGAAGCTGCATATAACGGGTGTGCGGAGCGACAGCGCCGCGTCTCTCGTTGCTTTCATCCGTTCCACGTCGCGAGGAACGAGTCTCGAGAACGGGAAGGGTTGCAGAGGCGCGAGTTCGAGTCGCCCGACACGGAGCGACATGAGCTCTCGTGGGACACTTGGACGGGAGCCTGCGAGAGCTCGTCGGCGGACACACGGTGGGCAGACTGAAGGGACACGGGGTATATGAGGAAATAACGAGGGTGGAAGGCGGCGCCGGCCGCACCCCGGCGTCGCGACGTCAGTCGTCGTTCCAGCGTGGCTCAACAAGTACACGCGGCGCCGGGCGACGGATTCAAATTTCGGGAAACCGGGATACGCGGCTTTGTCGTGCGCCGAGAAATGCGTTGAACCGCGCGACCGAGCGGAGTGCCGATCGCGAGCGAGGGAATCGCGCGAGTCCTTTTTCTCTTTCTTATCATTCCCGGCGATTAATCAACAAGTATCCGCTGTGAAGATCGGTGAGAAGCCGAGATATCGCGGAGAATAACAAGCGAGATACGTCGCTTTCGAGTCTAAATTCGAAAGAAGACTTTTCTTTTCTCTCTCTCTCTCTCTCTCTCTCTCTCTCTCTCTCTCACACACACTCTCTCTCTCTCTCCTCTCTCTCTCTCTCTCTCAATCGGAGAATACAGATCTCCGGGTGTTTCGATTGTTCCTTCACCCGGAGGAAGGGACGCACGATGCGATCCAAGGTGACGAGCGAGAACACTTGGGAGACTAAGTGGGCCACGGAATCGTCGCAGAGCGGCAAAGGCGTGCGACACGCCGCCAAGAGAACGGGAACGTCAGGACTGAGGCTGTCGAGGTCCGCGCGGGGAAACACGGCGCGGGAGAGATCCCTCAGAAGGCTGGAGAGCAATAAACGGGAGCGCATGAGGATGCACAGTTTGAACGATGCTTTTCAGGTATGTAGAGGAGGTATGATTTATATTGTATACTCTACACGTCGGTAAGAGCCGGTCGCATGATCCGCAAGCAAGATTGTCTGTATCTTCTTTCTTCCAGTCATTGCGCGAGGTGATCCCGCATGTCACCAAAGGCAGACGACTGTCGAAAATCGAGACGCTGACGTTGGCGAAGAATTACATAGTGGCCCTGACGGACGTGATATGTGCCATAAGAAGCGAGGAGCAGCCGGAGGACCAGCAGACGAGCGTGCACGAGGCTCAGGCTTCCTCGGACGGCGAGCGATTGGAGCCGAGTGTCGTTCGCGTCAACATCGCCAGCAGATCGTGCGGCTCGGAGACTCAGAACTTCTATCAGAGTGATCATTCGCGGTGGGAGGACGATCTTAACAATTGCACGGGCCTTTGAAAAGTCCAAACGTTTTATTATTAGAGCACGATTCGGCGAATTGAGATCTCTTCCACGAGCGGCGTTTTCACCTGTCTTCCTCTCTTAGTCGCGCATGCCTTTTTGTTCGGCAAAGCTGTCTTTTGACGCGCCTGTATGAGCCTTAGCGTTACTAATAACCCGACTGACGTGTAGTGACTTAAGAGGATCTTCAATGTGTGCCAAAGAAACCTAGCGAGTGTAAAAGAAAAGAAAACGGAAAGTGATATATACGCGTACGGATGCTGATTAATACTAATACATTTATAAGATTTTATTTCGTATACGACGCTGTTAGTTTCCATAATAATGCGAGATGCAAAGAGGAGAAGAAGAGTATATATATATAATTTCGAGAAGTATAGTTTACAGAAGCACAAATGTTTTGTATTTACGCGCGAAGAAAGTTCGAGAGTTGCGTGGCGGATTTTCGTGCAACGTTAATTCCATGAACGAAACTATAAGATTTTATTAATTCGCCATTTTCTGGGCCTGTGTACACCTTGCCATTGAGGTTCACAAGAGCAAACGGGCTATATAAATATAACTATAATAAATAAAATATATTTACTATATAAATATATAGATACAATATATTATAATATATATATTCGCGCGTGCGCGCGCACGCGACACAATAAATTTAATTATATATTTGAGAAGTCTTCGAGTTTTTCGTCGATGCTCTTTGCCCCCTGCGTGAAAGTCACGCAGACTAAAATCGTATTTTCCAGCGCTCCATTGCACGAAATAAGTCTCTTGCATGATAAGTAATTGTTTCAACACGTTACCTTATATACAATTATACAAATGCACAGATACACAAACGATATCAGCCACTGCCGAATGAGATGGGCTGCGTCGTCAGGTCTTGCAAATTGACTAGCACCGCTGTTTTCGTTTCCGAGAATTTGGGTACGCATACTAGCCGCACCATTTGCCCTTCGTCACCTGCACACATTCACGATGCGTCAAATCTGTTCAAAGCTCAGCGATCAGTAAATGGAGTTGAGGAAGTTCTCACCTTCTACCAATCTCGAGTCGTATGTATTCATGTTTCCGGCAAAATATATATCCGGGCATTCCGTCATGACGAACGGGTCGTTCTTGAAGAACGGGTGAACCGGCAACGTGTTCGGGCCGGTTGGAGCGTAATGCCTCCAAGTCAAAGTACGCTCCATCCAATCCAACGGGCATACTTCATCCGATTTGGCCACCTTCAAGATGTCTGCGATCGGCTCGCCACAGGAACCAGCTACGACACGACCGCCGATATCGCCGATCCAGGGATTAGTCACCCCGTGCATGCTCTTGAACCTGCGTTCAACATCTGCCTGTTGTATTAAACAAAAGAACCTCGACGAATGCTACGGTGCTCGACGACGATGGTGTCTGCGCTACCTGGCCGATTTCTGCAGAGTACACGGATGAAACGGTTGCTGGGGCATACTGTAGTAGGAGGTCGGGTCGAACTGCCCCGGCATCAGCACGACGTAACAGCAATGGAGGATACTGGCGAGGAAAGAGTCCAGCTTCTGCATCGCCATTAGATCTTCCTTAATCTTACGTTGATCCTGCATTTTAGTCTCATAATAGCCTTTGTAGTTGTATATTTTGGCAGAACTTCGAATGCTGTTCCCTAAACAATTGAAAAGTTCACTTTAATAAGTTTTACATCGCTACTGATTCTGCAAAATATAGATGACTCTCACCAGCAATAATGACTTTAGTGACTATTGCTTCTTCTTTCTGCGCATTTGTGCATCCTGCCATTCCAGTTACCCATTCTAAAAGCAGGTCCAAACTAAGGTCATCTGTATTATTCACCAGATCCAAGCCAGAGACCAACAGAATTTTGCCACCCTCTGTCAAGGAGCCATTTGATGTACAGGGTTTTGAGCAATATCCTGGGAAACACCAGTCCTCTACCTAAAAGCAGTTTAGCAAGTTGAACTTTTGTTTGCAGATAAAATGCAATAATTATAGGTAAAGGATGAACTTTCTTTTTAACTTGCTATTAGTAGTACATATTTTTGCATAAAGAATATGAAAATGACAATTAAAATTGTTGTCTCAATTGTATATAATCATTATATAACTAATATGATTTTTTTCTGAAATTTTCTGAGATGAGACAACTTGTATATAGCTATTCTACTTAATATACATTAATATAACATTAATATATAATAATATAATAATATAAATATATACCCAGAAAGCTCCAGTTTCTGTTTCATGTCCAAATACCGCACATACAACTCCTGTGATGATTTCTTGCATATCCATGTGATTTCCCATTAGTCTAACACGTGATGTTTCATCCTCCAGGAATATTTTGATATAGTTGGATGTGTAATTCTGACTTGTCTGCATTCCCTGCTGTGGCTCATTGTTGATGTCACGTAATAACGAAAGTTTTAACTTTTCCTTTAGATCGTCTTTACATAGCACTCCTATCAAAATGTAAGATTTTTCCTTATCTTCCACAACCAGATGCGAGATCTCCACGTGTGAATAGCCCACTATACATAAACAAGATATAATATAAATAGTTTCTGCTAAATTAAGAAAAAGTTGTAATATAATAAATATGACTCACCCCATTTCAATTTCGCTTTGCGCAATGTGTCTTCTCTCAAATCGTTCAGCCTCGCTGTATATATATTGAGAGAATTGTTATCGTATCTTCTGTCGAGCAGTTTGAATCTGCCAAAGTCATTGAAGGAAACAACTTTCCGCTTGTATTCGTCGCACTCCATCATTATTTCAAATTCGCGGAGACTAATTCGTCTCTGAAATTTCTCAAAGTCAATAGTTTCATCATTTGAATAATTTGATAAACAGTCATTGCGCTAAAAAGAACTGAAAGTCGACGGATGGAAATCGATCATGTTCGATTCCTTTTGATTTTTATCCCTCGTTGGTAAATAGAGATCGAGAAAAATTCGTCATGCTATTAAAAATCAGCTAAAAATAAAATATCTATTTGGTGGTTACAGAGAGTAACCTGAGAGCGGCCAATACGACATTTTCTGCGACACCGACTTTCCGCACTGGGAAAGGACGCCATCTGCATCCATTCTGAGAGAACTACGATAGTACATCCACTTTCAGGTCTCGGTGGTAAAATCTGCATATGGTGGAAGTCCATGCTACATCCACTTTCAGGCGGTTTATGTCCGTGCTGCAATGACAGTTGTCATCTCTATGCCAGACTATGCCCGGTGGTCTAAAAAGAGCGGGAGAGGGGGGAGGAGCAGAAAAAATAAAAGTACGTATTAAATGTTAAATCTTCGAATATATATTGCCGTATCAAAGTCTCTTCTATAATAAACAATTTGACATGTATGGAGACGCATGATGTATCGTTGTCCGCGTCCCGTTCACTTCGTCTTGTTTTTTAATTCAGCATCCCGTCCGCTCCGGACATTCGCTCGTGGCACTGACAGTGGCCGTCGGTGAGCATTCGATCCGCTCGGAGGAGCACGTGTTATTCACGTAATTAACGTGACGAGACTCCGATTATAAATATTCCGCGAGTCGACGAAATATTTGAACTTTTAAAAAAAGTATCAAAGAAAATCACGTTAATGTTGTCATGGGTAAAATCTCACCCCGGTATATATTTTCTTATTTTCGAAATAAAAAAAGCCAAACGAATGCAATTAAATGTTATTTATCATCATTGAATATTAAATGAAAAGTAGAAGAGTTATTGTCCGCAGCGGATAATCTCCCTGTATAAAATGTCGAACTGAAACATATTAAAAAGTATTGACATTTTGAATACGTCTGAATTCTGCTTTTTGATCCGAAGAAAGGGAAAATAAAAAGTATTAGTTCCCATTAAATTTCACCGCGCTAAATGCGGCAGTAAGATGGCAGTAGTGAATGTTTCGCATTAACAAGGATTCAATTCGTTTCAAATATGCCTTGTATTCAATCGCAATCGATAATTTTTAAATGCGAACTTTCGTATTGAAAAATATTCACTTCTTCTCCTAATCGTTTTCGGATTCAGAGGCATACAAGATTTTCACGTTCTATTCCCCGTCGCATTAAAAAGTATTCACCCGCGATCCAATCTGAGAGCAGAATTCGCGACAAAATCTCGTGAATATGAAACAATACTTTTAAATACGACATTTTATACAGGACTAATATTTAATAAGAGCGCGACTAAATTCGCATAGGATGAAATTCCATTCTTTAACGCTACTATGACCTTCAATTATTCTCTGAAAACGGCGTCACAACAACTTACACTCTGTACAATTAGTTGCTAACACATTTTCTAATCGTACACATTCCTCTTTAATTAACATAAAGCTAACAAATGTCCGATGCTTCGACAGAGTAATTTTCTTTATTTTCAGTAATCAATAAATAGAGTGCATCAATGTCGCGTACAGTTGAAAGGCCTCCTCGCATTCCCCTCGTCGTTCCGAAACCTTCGAGAAAACAAGAGACGCTCAAAGGCAAGTCTCTCTTGCTTCAACCGCCACCGAGGCCCGCAATGTTTGCATCGCACCGATTGTGTTGATCGGCTCGCGAGCGACGATACTTTTTGCCCTTCGTATTATAATACTCGCGCACCTCGTGTATTCGACCTCATTCCATCAGCAGCAGCCGTGCGCGACGCTCTCGTCACTTCCGTCTCGTGTAATTAAAAGAAATATATCTCGTCGGTCCTCGAGATACTCAATCGACATCGCGTCGGCATCTCATTTATTAACTGCACGGTCGAATCGCGAATATCAGCATTAGAAGCGTGAGCGAGTGAAATCCGAAGGACTTCAGCAGTCGAGAAGCAGAATGCCGGCAGTGATACGTCACGTTTCCAGGTATGTGGAATCATTTATTACGCGGGAGGTCTCCGATAACGAGAGCGTACGTTTGACGAATTTTCCGGGAATAAGAAGTCGGAATTTCGCACTCGGCACTCACAATCCGTCATCATCCGACTAGTAATCATCACTTTATGAATTTGCAATTACTCTCGTCAATCTCTGTCTGTCTATCTATTTATTGCGTTGTTGTATACAAAAGATATTGATCCAGACAGAGACGGATAACGGTCCATGGACGTGGATCTCGAATTCATCATGTTCTCAATCACACATTCTGAATCATTCCCAATTCCTGTGTGAGAATATTGGTCTTGTGTAGAATATTCAATGTCATATCGCTTCTTAGACTGCGACCTTTTTTGTTTTCGGTCAGCGCTTCTTTCAAGTTTGTTTACTCTTGTTACGGGATCTGAATTTAAATGTCCATCCGTAAAAGAATATTTTCGAGAACACACAACTGTTGTCTCCGCTTCTTATTGTCATTTTCTTTCGTCAGCTCTTTCAAAAGCTCCTATCTAGACATTCAATGTCAATAAAGAAAAAAAATCGTAGCGAATATTCTCCACTCATCCCGACCAACCATTTTTTTTCTACCGCAGCTTACCAACCAAGAACGCTAAATTTTTGTTCCAGACGTTGCGGGAAGCAAGTCCGGCGGACGCGGATGCCGCACCGGAGGATCCGGTTCGGGCAGAGCAGGGTCGGCCGGAAGGTAAAGTTTACAAGTTTCCTACACATCTGTGTTCAACTCTTTACGATATTTGCCTTTGTAACTTGTTCCCCACCAGCTCTCTTGAAAGCTTCAAGTCCCATTTAAATTTTCAATTTTGGAACAAAAATATAAAGATAAAAATTCCGTATCAAAATATATCCGTATTTTCGATTGGTCCCGATAAAAGATATTCTCTCTCTACCGCAGGTTATCAACCGGGAAAATTATTTTTCTGTTTCAGTTGTTGCGGAAAGCAACAGCAATCCGGTGGACGCGGATGCTGCACCGGAGGATCCGGTTCGGGCGAAGCAGAGTCGGCTTGAAGGTAAGTTTACAAGTTTACTATAGTCCTCTGTTTGACCCTTAGCGATCTAGAGCTGGGATATAATTTCCGGCTCGACTTGAATTACGATCGCAGAGGGTAAACTACTCTTTTACTCGCCCGCACTCGTTGGTCAAATCTGATGAGCAAATGTGAATTTTTTGTTACAGAGTTGAAGCGGAACGTGGCCGGCTCTGACTGCAAGTCGTTTCGGTGAGTTAAAATGAAAAGAGAAACAAAATTCTGCATGACGGATGTGGGACTAAAAAATATCGTTCGAGTCAATGCGAATTGCAAATAGATACTTGCATGTGTGTATTTGTGACGTTGAATAAAATACATTGCTCGAAACAATCAGGGGATTACTTGATCGATAGCCTGCATTACATACAAGATTTAAAATACTGAATGATTCTCTTTTGATGTTCAGTCATCTGAATAAGAGAATATTCATATGTACAAACGCGACACCGACATCAGCTGCTTCATTTTTATTTTTCAAGCGGGCCGCAGAATTACTTAACGATTTAATTATTTGACAATATTCAATTGTCCGTATAAAATATATTCATACTTAAATGCCGATATCGTTAGCTACTTTTCTTTTATTTGCAAAACAGGCTGTAGAATTATTTGGCAATATTGTCCATTCATCACAATCCCTATTGTCTCGAGTAGCGTATAATGCGCGTAGAAATTGCGCCAGCGCACGCCGAGCTTGAGGTATTCTCGCTCGCGTGCCTTTGAATATCGCGATCGCAGTTGTCAATATACGCGTTTTTACTCGCATTGCTAACAAAGAAAACTTAAATTCTCATTTCGCCAAAGTATCGCGAACGTAAGCTTCGTCATGACAGAGCTATAATGCGTGAAAACTTTGCCCCGCTCCTCTCTCTTTGCGCTCCCTAAGGGGGACCGGTTTCTGATTGTCTAATCTTTCCTCGCGTGCATTCGCGTCGCGAATATTTCACTCGTAGATATCGATAATCCCACATTTTCGCGACTTTTCAGACGCAATCGCAAAAAGCACCGTAAAAATCCGTTGGACGAGTCAATAAATTTTCAAACGGTTCTTACTCCTCCCCGATCGAGTTTATAGAGTCCGTTTCGCAGCGCGCAAAAAGTTTCCACCGATGGCGAGTAAAACGTTCGTTAATTGATGTAAATATCGCCGTTCTAATACGGCGTATCGACCGCGTCGCGGAAGTGTGATGAAAGTGTAGCGATCACCGTGGGACGAGCTGCAAGATGGATGTTGTCTCCATGCGCGACATGGAGAGCGGCAGCGGACATGGGCGGACATTGGTGGATCTGGTTGGATGCAACAGGACATCATCAATATCATCATTGGTGAGTGTCTGACTCAAAGCTCGCAGAAAGAACTTTTATTATTACTTTATTATTACTTTTATTATTACATTGTGCATGCCGCAAATTTGCATTGACTCTTGTAACGAAAAATATATTCCATGAATTATTGTCCTATATTATTGCCATATATTGTTGCCACATATTGTTGCCATATATTGTTGCCATAAATTGTTGCCATATATTGTTGCCGTATATTATTACCATACATTATTCCCATATATTGCCATGTATTCTCGCCATATATTATGGCCACTTGAAATCGCGCGAGCAATCAAGAAAACTGAATTTATCGGTAATCGCAAAGGCGCGGCAGACGTCACAAATGGATGTTAGCAGCCGGTCCCAGGGTTGACCAATAACAATACTGTTGCTGCAATTTAACTTTAAACAACAGAGGCCTCAGATCATAAGAAACTTTTTATCGCGGACTAACCTTTCGAACGGAATGTTCCCGAGAAGCGCTCTTGAGATAAATGGAAGTTATAAGCGAACCTCATCGATAGCATACTTAACCTTCGATAACTCCTAAAGGTCTCAAGATACAGGAACGCTCTATTGCAATATAGATATATCAACCCTACTTTGACCATAAAGCTCGACTTTCAATTCACAGTAGAAACGGAGATATTCACATCACAAGTTAAACATTTTAACTTATTATATCTCCTAAACGGTACAAGATACAGGAACGCGCTCTTGCCACAATGTAGTCCTATACCAA